TTAGCCACAGTGCTACTTCTGGTTTTAATTGGAGATAATAGTCTGGTACTTAATTGGAGATAATAGTCTCATAGTCTTTCCTGCCCAGCTTGGCTTCAACTGAGATCTGAGGATCTCAGTTAGGATTATAGGCATGAGCCACCAGTGCCTGGCTTGGTCTGTTCTTCTTAAAGAACTTTCAGAACCTTAAGATTCTGTTTGATATATCTCACTCACATGTCCAGGTCACGCATTTTTCTGTTTAAAACTGTATTTTTTAGCTGAAGATTGTTCCAGGAGGTAATCAAAGTTGCTTATTACTTAAATAGTTTTCCTCTGTTAGTGAAGAACATTCAAAGTACTGTTAAAATTCATTCTAATCACAAATCAATAATAAAAAAAAACTGCTTTAGAAAATGGGAAGTTATTTGGACAATGTTTCTTTCAGTTACAACAGGGCACCTACCCTAAGGTGACAGCTTTCCTGGAGGAAGTAGGAGTGCATGCCTTCCTTCTATGAGGGCTATCAAACTGCACAGGAGACAGGAATTCAAGCAGACTGAAGCCCCACCCCAGAGGCAATTCTTAACTTCTCAACTCCACATTCCCATTAAGAACCAGTCAGTCTTTACCAGTATGTAGCCTATATTTAAAAAAACAACAACAAAATAGCTAGATACAACTTGTGATTAAGAAATACTTGATGGTGTAAAGTTTTCTTAAAACTTAGCAGTGTAACATTCACAAATGTTAGTATCTTAATTCATTTTTTATTAAATGAACACAAATATGTCCATTGTTATTTTCATTACGCTTCCAGAAGAAACTAAAACAGGCAATGGAGATGTGTCTGACAGCACTGTGACTGCCGATCCTGTTGTGAAATGAAGTTGATGGTATGAAGTCTTCAGAATTGGCTCATAACTTTTACCACTGAAATGGATGTTATAAGCTATTATGAATTGTTTCCTGGGATGCATATCTGGAAGGTATTTACATTTTGCAGCTCTTTAAGGCAGCCCTCTAAAGTTAAAACTTAGAAAGTTCTACTTTTCAAAGACTGAGAATAAGATTTTAAAATTAGACTTCTGCTTGGACCTTAGGCTGGAAGATGTTCCTAGGAGCAGTAATTTAAAATGAAGTTAGAGGAGGGCAGATCCGAACTCCTAAACTGTCGCCTCAGATCTCTTGTAATCTTGTGTGTAATTCATATTTACACAGGTCTTTCATCTGTATCTCCATTCATTGCAAAGTCAGTGCATATATTTTATATAGCCAGTAAACATGTTAAAACAAAGATTTGAGCTTGAAATTCATGAAGCATACATATTAATATGCTTATGAAAATAATATATGAAAATGGCTTTGATGCTAGAGTTGAGGCACAAGTGTTATGTATTCTTTGTACAGAAGAACTGATGATCATGCGTTATTAATTTCATGTGACTCACAAGAGCTGCTGATGTCTTTGATGAGACGTTTTGAAACTAGTTTACATTGCTTTGGGAACATTTAACCTCCAACAACTGCTTTAAATTTAAGATTTACTTAATACTCAAAATCTCAGATAAAGCCATAGAGTCCTGCTTGAAGCTTATTTTCAATTTGAAGGCAGTCTGTATGATACCAGAAAAAAATTGAATAACTTCTACATCCAAACTCAGGTTTCTTCTACATTAAACAAAATCTTGGTGATGGTTTGGGCAGAATTTTTCTTTTCATCAGTCATAATTTAAGATACAATTAAATACTAATTGCACTGTTGGCAAGCTTTTAAAAATTTACCACTGTGAGGATAAAACTCTTAATAATAAATCACTTGCTAATTTAAAAAAGTATTAGATTTTGAGTAAATTTAGTTCCTAGTAAGCTACTAGCTTTATTTTTGTAAAGGTCCGTTAGTTAAGTGGGTTAATCATGGCCTTTTAAAGTACAATAAAGTGACATCTTTATAATGAAAAGGAAAGTTTAAAAATTTGTATGTAATACATCATTTTGGGAGATGTTTGGTCTTTCTATTACATTTGCTTGTTAAACATTTCTTTGGCTAAATCTTGGAAATAATTCTAACATTGTTAGAATTATAACATTATTCTCTGAATGCAGATTCTGGAACGCGCATACAGTGCCCTGTCTCTATTTATCGGTTAGCGTCCAGGGTAGCTTTCCCAGCCCCAAATAAATACTTTCACTGTTAAGTCAGAGGAAACAGAATATGTAGGAAATGGTTTTTGCTTATTTTGTAAACGTGGCTTACTGAATTAATGGATAACGGAAGGACTAAAGGCATTTAATATTTCTAATTCATATTAACTGTAGAAATGGCCCTAAAGCATGCTGCATAATTTCTAATTTATATTTTCATTATTATAAATGTTTATATTGATACTGGATTTGATTATATCAAATTATAGTCAATATTTCGTAGCAACAGTATTGTTGTATTTTTCTTCTTTGACTTCCTGAAAGCATCCCCTTTAACAGGAAGTTTTGATTAGAAGAGCGTCATATGTTCTTTGTTTTTTACACCACATGAAAATGAATTCTTGTATCAATATTAGAGTTCACTGTTGACTCTAGATGCCTAGAGTGAACACTCTGGTTCATTGCCAGATACCTACAATTGAGGAGAAAGTCAGACTATTTTACCTTTAGTTCAAAATAATGTCATTGAAGTTATCATGGATAAATTATACATCCATATCCTTGAGTTACAGTGTTTGAAATGACAAATATATAAATGATATTAGGTTGCAGAGCAACAGGACTTCATATATTCACAACTGAGTTAATACATACATGGATGATGGATGATGGTTTTCTTTTTGCTAACATTACTGTTAATATATTGTAGACATTATAATCTAAAAATTAATTTGAGCATTAGTTGTAAGGTCACAGAAAACTTAGCAATGTTCAAATCCTCAGGAATTAAAGACTAACCATACCATTGTTGTTCTAATCAAATTTTGTAAAAGATGGCACGCTTGTTACCTCACTTGAGTGGAGGTTCCCCCTCCCCCCAATTCTAAGAGAATACAGTATGTATAAAAACATTAATAAATATAATTTCAAAACTTTCCTTCTTCTGCATGTCTGTGTCAAAGTTTGAATGTCTTAAGCCAGTATTTAATATGAACCTTTCTGAAGTCCCTTTAAATCAAAGTACAAGTAATCTCTATGCAAAAATTTGCATGTGATTGTCTTCAAGGGCAAAACACAAAACTCACTTGAAAAACAGCCTAAAGCAAAAGGATTAGAGGTGTCACTTTAGTAGAGTACTTGCCTGAGCTCAAACCCAAACTCAAGTGCCACCACACACAGTTACACAAACACATTCACTTGACCTCATCTTCATGATAGCAAGAGCCTTTCTTAAAAATGCTTTATTATGCACATCTCATTTATACATAAATATAACGTTGGGATTGGGTCTTCTTGTGTATCACAGGTAAAGAACTTTTGTATTCTTTCCTATAGAGGAAAGAAACACCCTTGATCTTTTCATAGCTTCATATTTTCAAATAAAAAGAACCAACATGAAGTTATTTCAAATTCTCATCCTGGAAAGGGACCCTAAGTATGTGTTGTTTAGTGTGTCAGAGTGTTTTTATCTATAAACATGAATCAAACCGAAATATTGATAAACAAGGTTTTGATTTTTACTTTGTCTGTCTTGGGTATTGAACTCAGGGCATAGGTGCTGTTCCTGGGCATTTTGCTCAAGGCTAGGGCTCTACCACTTTGAACCACAGTACTACTTCTGGTTTCCTGGTGGTTAACTGGAGATTAGAGTTTCAGACTTTCCTGCCCAGGATGGCTTCAAATCACAATCCTCAGATCTCAGCTTCCTGAGTAGCTAGGATTATGGACATGAGTCACTACTGTCTGGCAGTATTTTTTAGCGAGGGAGGACAGGGACTTACTATGTGGCCCAGGCTGTCTCCAGTTATGCATCTTCTGACTTAGTCCCCCAAGCGCTGGTATTACAGGTAGGGATCTCCATGCACAATTTGAAACCCTTTTAAGTACTACCCTGGATGCCAGAGATGCAATCTTGTTGAGTATTGTGCTAGAGAAATGTCTAATTGCTGCCCTTCTGTCTTCTATGGTTGTCAATGTCTACAATTTGAGGAAGCTGAAATGATGGCATCATGTTACTTTTTATTATTATTATTATTATTATTTTGCCGGTCATAGGGCCTGAACTCTGGGCCTGGGCGCTGTCCATCAGCTCTTCAGCTCAAGGCAACCACTCTACCTCTTGAACCACTGTGCCACTTCTGGTTTAGAATCTCATGGGACTTTCCTGCCTGGGCTGCTAGGATTACAGATGTGAGGCACCGGCGCCCAGCTCATGTTACTTTTTATGCTGCATTCACTAAAAGTAAATGGTAGACTGTAATGAGCCTTAAAGATTTTGGCTCGATTGTCTTTTCAGCTTCATGTTGTAGACATTTTGGAATACCTTCTTTTAGTTAGGGACATTTCAGTACTTTTTTTTTTAAAGTAAGTTTCAGTGTTTTTGTTTTTGTCTTAAAGCAAGGCTTTTAGATGTTAAGAACAGTTTAGTAGGTTGTCAAAGATTTCAAATAATAATACTGAAAATTTTCCCATTCCACCATTCCTTCCACTGGAAAAATTCCAGGGGACTTTTAGCTCAGCCTGTCAGAGGATCTACTAATCTAATACAGCGATGCTGTGCAAATCTGTTTAGTCCCTGATGAACACTGAACTAATTTGACAATGTAGAATCTCATACTGTTGTAGATCTTTCACCATGCCTCCCATAGTATGCACATGAAAAGAATGGATTCTTCAGCATCCTGAGAGGTTGTGAAAATTGTGATTCATTTACCATTAAAAAAATGTTCTATACATGTTGAGTAGAAGTATTTTATAGTCTCTTTTTTCTTGGATTTCTTTATATCTTTTTTTGGGGTATTAACTTAGAACTAGAGAACTGACTTTACTTTTTTCTTCTAAGGATAATCTAGAAAATAACCACAACAAGTAAAAGATACAGAATGGTAATTTTTATTGCTATGTTAGTATTACAAAGATAAAAGGAGTCGGTTGAAATTGGTTACAATTAAACACACTATACCAATTCAAGATCCTTACACTTGTTTCATAATTAGGGGGGATAGATGAGTGGATTGGCTCCAGGAACCAAAAATACCAGGGTAGAAATAAAACTTTATACCATGCCCCACAAGCAGCTGTGCTTCAAGTAAGTTTTAAAATTAATTGGTCCCTTACTTGAGGGTCTGGCTCAGAAGAAACAGGAACTAGTAGAGTTGTACCCTGGCCACAGGAAATATCCACTAAAGTCACATCTAAGAGTACCTTACAGTTTTGAATGAATGCTGGTTCTCTAAGAGTCTCTTGTAAAACATCTTTTGTGGTATTCACCTGCTACTCTTTTTATTGCATGATGTCTGGAAGTTATCAGAACTAGACCTGCATCTCTACTACTGCTTGTCACCTAACTACAGAGTAATGTAATGCTGTGAGGTCCAGTTATGAGATAGACTGAACTTAATTACATCAAGAATGACAGGCACTTAAGATTCATTAAGTAAAATACAAAAATAGATTATATTAATAGGAAATATTTAGTATTTTAAATCTCAGCTTTTGCTATTTTTACAAAAGATACTGGAGATGACATCCAAACAATGCATTTTCATAGCTTTTGTTCTGAGCACTAAATAATGCAGTCTAACGAAAAGACTTACCACAAAGCACCTAAAATAACATTTGTAGAGAGTAGAAACGTTGTCACCCATTTCTTATTGTCTCCCTCCCAAGTCTCAGTAGCAAGACATCGAGGGGTACATTCCACAAACGCTTGTCAGCATTCTGAAACCAGGTCAGTGTGCCTGTGCATCAGAGAAGTTGAGAACCCTTAGCGAGGTAGCTCTCCTTCTGTGTGTCTTCCCCACACGCCCCAGTGAGTTATGCTTCAGATTCTGCACCTCTATTTTCACTTGGACTTCCACCATTGTCATCTGGTTGATCGTTTAACAGTACATATTTTCCATCATTAGTTAGTGGTACAGACAGCATTAATTGAGCCAGTGCTTCTGGATCCTGAAGTTAGGAAAGTTTAAGAGAGAAAAAAAGGAAAAAGCTTAAGATGTACTTAAGACCCCCCCCCCTGGCTTGGCCTTTCAGTGTGTTCTGTAATCTGCCTCATTGCTCTTAACCTGTGTGAAATCGCAAGGGCATTACTTCTAGAATCTCAGCTAAGTTCTTCTTGTCAGCCAGAATGTCATTTATTATTCATAACCATCTTCCGAAATAGAGTCCAAAGGGGAACTTCCTTCACAAAACCTATCTTTTATCTTAAATCTCTTTTTCGTCTTTTAGTCTTTATCAGGAGTTTGGTCCCAATTGTTTTTATAAATAAGAGTTGTACTGGAGCATAACCATGACCATTTGTTCATACACTAGCTGAGTTGAGATGATAAGCCTGTAAGACAAAGGCCACTTTATAGAAGTATGCTGACCTCTGACCTCTACCAACTGGGCATGGCAGCACATACTTGTAATCCCAGGGATATAGCATCACAAGTTTGAGGCTAGCAGGGACAAAGTTAGCAAAACACTATTTCAAAAAAACAAAAAGGCTGATGACATAGCACATGTGTTAGAGTGTTTGCTGGATGAGCTCTGGGTTCAATCCCTGTATAAACCAATTACAAATAAGTTTCTGTCTTGTAGTTATATCAGATATGTTGCTAAGTGCACTCATAGGGTAGCTTATGTGTTAATTACTTAAATTTAAAAATTTTATTTTTAGCCATGTGCACTTCGTATATTAAGTAATGCACATTTAGATAACTTCTATTACTACAAAAATTCTTCCAGACATTGTGGAACAAGAAGCCTTCTGGGGAAGGGACAGAGCTTATTCACAGCTATATTTCCAGGATTTTTCTTATACCAATTAGTCTTTTCAAATATTGATGGATGTATGAAAGACGGTGAGGTGCTGAATGACAAGGAGCTGAGTTGATCATTTCTAGTAAGTTCCCACGTGGTATCTCTCTGCTGCTGGGCCTGTGATGATCCTCTGAGGAGCTAGGCTATAGAGCACATGATGGGTACTTAAGTTTGTATCATCTTACTATGAAAGAGAAGAAATCTAGCCAACAAGTATGCAAGCAAGAAAATTAACAAGACAGGAGCTGTGGCAGTGTTACTTATTAAGTACAGATGTGTTAGTGAATGTGTTTAAGCAGCTGGTCACAGATGTCTGGTGGTTATAGAATGCTTAAAGGGAATCCTAAACATATTTACAGTATCTCAGAAGCATCACTTCCTTTTTGAGAATTTTACTGTATGACATCTTTTGAGCAGTTGTTAAACCAGCACTGAAATTCTCCTTACCTTTTGAACCTCAATAATTTCTTTTCCCAAATTAATAGCATAACATATCTGCAAAAGACAAGAAAAGTAGTGTTTGGCAAAGGTAGAAATGCATTAGAAAAATTCTAGGCACAGAGAGTATGTGAGCGACTGCTCACATCCACATGGCAGACTGGATTGGCTACAGCAGATAAGTTTCATGCAGTTCAACACCACTGACAAGTTTCATGCAGTTCAACACCACTGACCTCCTCTTACCAGTTACTGCCATGGACAAAATATTCCAGGTGAGTGAAAACTTAAGTCAATCCAAAGTTTAAAATTTCTAACGGAACATTTTTTCCCTCTCATAATAAGCTACTTAATGTTCATATACAGGGTGGCAACCAGACATGTAATAAAAGGATTGAGAGCCGGGCACTGGTGGCTCATACTTGTAATTCTGGCTACTTAGGAGGCTGAGATCTGAGGATTGCAGTTCAAAGCCAGCTTGGGCTTTGAAAACCAGAAATGAGCTATGGCTCAGATAATAGAGCACTAGCCTTGAACTGAAAAGCTCAGGGACAAGAGCCCAAGCCAGAGTTCAAGCCTCACGAGTGACAAAAAAAGAAAAAAGAAAAGAACAATTGATTAATTTTAGGGCAGGGGGTACTGAAGATTAAACTCAGGGCCTTGAGCTTGCAAGGCAGGCCCTCCACTACTTGAGCCATGCCTCCAGTCCTGGAATGATTCATGTTGATGAATTTCTAAGAACTGGATGTGGTCATCACATTCTTAGAAACAAGAATGGCTCAGATTCCCTTATTGCTGTCCTGTACCTTGACTTTGTTGAGACTACTGGAAGAAACTACTTTTACCATTTCTTGATATCTTACTAAACAATTAGATCTTTAGGGGTGATGGTACTAGGGATAGAAACCAGACCTTGCACTTCTAAGCAGGCTCTCTACTCCCTGAGCCATACCCTCAGTCCTTAACCTATTGTGTGTTTATTTTCCCAAGGGAAGATTTTAACACAGTCTTCTTTGTTTTTGAGTAGAGTTTTCCTATGTAGCATTACTGAACTGGCCAGAGATGCACAGAATAATTGACTAAGCTATGCAATGGGCTGTGCAAAAAAGCATCAAAGGTAGAGTTGTTTCAACTGAAATATTACAGAATTTACAAAAGAAAAAAGAAGACCTTTTCGCCTTCTGAGTTGCTTTCAAAAATGTATGTGCTCAGAGACTCTTCTCCTGTGGACTCAGGAACACGGATGACAAAGCCAACCAGTCTCTTGTTTTCCTGATGAGCAGCAAACTGTGTGACACTGGTAAGTTCAAACTAATGAGAGAAAGGAACAGATTCAACAGTCACACAAGTGGAATTCAGACAGACAAAGCTAATTGGTATGGAAAATAATGGACTCCTCATGAATCCATGGCAAATTGTTTAAGTGTTGTGTTTACAGGTGATTTAGGAGGTACTTACATTGGCCCTTGACACTTGAGTCTGTGGATCTATCAACCTGAAATTTTAAGAGATTCATTACGTTACAAATGTTGTATGAACTTTTTGTCTTAGCAGACCCTGTAAAGGTGCAGAATGAAATGTCATGAATGCCCTCACATGAAAATAAGGCCGTTTTGAAGTGGGAGTTCTTTGTGGCTATCTGTGTGCCATGGTTTCTGCCTTTGCTGAAACTGTAGTTGAAATTTAGGGTCTTTACAGTGAAAGTTTGATTAGATACAATATGGAAGAAGTGAGTTCACAGGATTTTGGTGCTTATCAAAAAAAAAGCAAGCTGGGTGCTGGTGGCTCACGCCTGTAATCCTAGGTACTCAGGAGGTTGAGAAAAAGCCAGAAGTGGTGCTCAAGTAGTAGAGTGCTAGCCTTGAGCCAAAAGCTCAGGGACAGTGCTCAGGCCCAGAGTTTGAACTCCAGGACCAGATTTAAAAAGGCAGCATTCTATACAGTTTTCTAAGTTATTCGTAATATGGATGGATCATACTCTGTTCTGTCTTCTTCCCAACAAACATTCACTGGCTACTTGAATTAAACTTTTAAGTATTGAATTAGCTTGTTCTGACTTTAACCACTGGATGTGGTATTTGTAATCCCAGCTTCTCATGCGGTAGGGATTTAAAGGGTCTTATTCAAGGCCAGCCTTACTAAAGTTTTTGAGTACTGTTCTTAACAATTAGCAATAATGAAGAAGGAACATGAATTTGCCAAGAACAATTGACTACCACCACTAACTGAAAAGGGTAAAAATGAGGCAAAGCAACATGAACTACATGATTGGGTTTGGGGCAGTAAGATCTACGTGAACATATGGCTGCTGGAAAACTAGAATTACATAGAGGACTTACTTTGTGTCTCTGGCACAGCACTGCTTTAGAGCAGAGGGTGTGGGTTTATGCCTGGTGTCAGCATTTCTTAGCCGTACCACCTTGAGCAAGTTATTTGACCTCTTTACCAAGGGTCTTACAGTGAAAGTAGCTGGCTCCATGACCCATAGGCCCAGGTCAAATTAAGCAGATAAAATTGGAATACTTTAGTGTTGTCATAAGGAATGAATGAGTTGCATATTTAAAACATTTACAAAGGACTAGCACATGGAAACTGCTTGATAACTGTGTGTCAAAAGGCATAACCAAGACTTCAACAGACATTCTCATTTAGTTTCTGCCATTCTCTAAAGCACTTTTCATTGTAAACCTTATTCTGCTTGGGCTTGAACTCAGGGCCTGGGCTCTGTCCCTGAGTCTCTTTGTGCTCAAGGATAGTGCTCTACCACTTAAACCACAGTGCCACTTCCCCAATTCCTGTTTTAAGGGAACATCTTTTATATCGTATAAAACCAAAATAAAGAAGAGGTTAGGAGTAAAACCAAAAAAAGCACCTTCATCTAACCAGATATTCTAGCACTAACATTCCGATGAACGTAAGCATAAGAAACTGAAAAGGAAACTGTACCTCAGACTTTGACTGGTAACCATCAGATGGGATTCTGTTGTGCGGAAGATGTTGTGAATAGCCCGAGCAGCCAGTACTTGTCTCATAGCTTCATAAATCACTTCAGTCGTGCTGTCTGTCTTAACTGCCATGGATCCCAAAAACCGAACTATAAACATCTGTTGCAAAAGGGAATCTGCAAGAGAGCAAGCTCTGCTCAGGGTCATACTGGCTCCTGCTAGTGATCTGCAGTCCGTGTCAAGGGCCCCACTGTGAAGAGACTGAAGGTGTCTATAAAGGGCATTTAACGCCAAAGCTGTCTGGTTGTGCCAAAGCTCTGAATCTTCTATTGTCTGCATTTGTCAGTTTGGAACTACTTCAATACATTAGAAAGGCTTTAAAAATTTTATAAAATGAATTTAGTTATCAGATGAACTTCTTTCAAGAACTAAATCTCAAGAGCGTTTCTACTTGCTGTTAGAAAAGCCACTATTTGGCCCAGATAGCAGTGTTTGTGGGAAGGGAGACCTAGGGTCTCACACAATTCATGCTGTCTTATAAGCTAACAGAGATCTCAAACTGAAGCAGTTTGCTTATTGATTCTGAAGAGCTGATGACTTCTGGATAATGGCATATAGCCTGAGACATGCTGATTAAGAGTGAAAACAAGAATTCATTTACTTATCATTTTAAACGGACACGCTTTTTTTTTGTCCCTAAAAACAACTTAAGGATTTAAAAACCCTGCTAGGAAAATAAACTGGGATAATGTTAAGTGATTACGCCCATTGTTTCGTTTTGTGGCAGCCCTTGGTGTGAACTCAGGACCACTGCTAGCCTTCTATGGACCTGATGACATAGGATGGATTATTAAAAAGTTCGTCAGGTTTTTACATAGAGATTAATTTGACTCACAGACTATTAACATCTCTAAAAGAGCTAAGACATTTTTACTCCTTTTAACAATAATAAGCAAGGAGTTTCATTCTAATGGCATTCTCTTGTATTTCAGGCATTGGTAGCACTTCTCATTACTAAACTGCCTTGAGTAAGGACTCAAAATCTGCTCATCTGAGTAGATTATGGTCCATTCATCCAGTTTTATGTCAGAAGAATATAAATCAACAAAAATGTGAATTTGAACCAATCTTCAATATCATTTTCAAACTCAAGCACAAGTTATTTGTGCTTTGGATGTATTAAATGAAATAACATAGCATTTGTAATTCACCAAGATGACATTCAATGTGATCCTGAATTTGTTTTCTAGGAATGTGGTAACAGAATTGGCAACACTGCTGCGTAGGACCTCCAAAAAGGGAGTGAGGTGTGGCTAATCCTAAAGCAACTGAAGAAAATCTTTGAGCTATCTGTTTTTAATCCAAGGCCTGACTTAATTTGACATGTGCTAAATTTTCATAGAACAAACGAGTCATTTGAATTCATATTCTAAATTGTAGCTTTCTAGACGATGCTTTCATAGGGCATTTCAGTGGCCCCTTGTCATCATTTTGTGCAGGAACAGTCATTTACCTTCTGCTTCAGGAAATGAGTCATCCTCAGTTTCACCAAAAGGGTTGCTGCGCCTGGGGAAACAGGCAGAGGTCAGCAGTCAGGGCAGCTGCACTGCAACTCAGTATGGCAGTAATCCTTGGTGGGTGGAGCCACAAAGACTCAGATCTATGTCTGTTTCTCCCAGAAATGACCTCCCTTAGCCCATACCTGCTCCCCCTGTTCTGATCGAGGAATTCCGTTGCAGGAAGCACAATATCAAACTGAATAGGTGTTCCAGGTGCTATCAGTTCTGTGGCAGGAATCGTATGATTTTCTGTCTCTGAATTTTTCAGGTTCAGACTGGAATATAAATAGGAAAAAAGAATCAAATACACTTAACTGTTTGTTATTTGCTGGTGGGACTTACAAACATCAGTCTCTCAACCCATTCTATACTAAGTCTTCCTCAAATGTTATTGATATCCTTGGTTTATAATCTCAGGTCTCCCAACTATAGATGGTTGCTCGGCATTTGGAGTTGTGTGTTAAAAATCTGTTGTATCTCTTTCCTTATGAGACTGGTTTTTGAGGGAGGAGCTGTAAGTCATTAATTATTTGGCACACAGTAGGCACTCAGCAGTTAGGCGAAAGACCTGGTATTCACAGTGTGTCTATACTTTCTGGAGAACCTGCCTTTCTACCTCCTTAACCCACCCTCCACCTCCAAGGGTGCTCCCCTATCTGTGCCACCAGCTGCTCCTCACTTGTGGCACAGCAGGTTCTGTCCTGGACTCCTCCCAAATGCCAGCTCAGATCACCACTCCCCTACTGCAGCAGCTTAAACCTCTCTGTGCCTTCTCTGGCCTCCTGTGGCTCTTAGACAGGTACCGCGGGCACCCAGTGTGTCTCCTGAGCTTAGCGCCCGCCCCCTCCCCTGTCCCCTCCCCCGCCCCCATGCACTCTGCCCATGGAAACTGTGCTGATCCTGTATCACCATGTATCTTCCCTTCTAGAGGTAGGATGCTTGCAGTGCAACTTCACCTTTTAAGATCTTTTCCCAGCTACAGTATAAATATGAAGGATGTCATGGATACTCTTTGATATCTGGACATAAAAAGACCATCACAGTTTTGTGCCAATGTTTTCCTATTTTCCAAATATGTCAATGACTGAAGGCATTGTAGGAAATGACAGGTTATTTGATAGGTGGTCATATTGAATGGAATGTGGATAGTAACACATTCTGTGGCCTTGGAACAAAGAGATGCCTTAGAGGCCTGTAGAGAAGCTATATGGAGAAGTAACAGGCAGTTGTTACCTTTTGTTGGTATCATTATGCAGGGGGACCATGTATATTTGCTTTGGAGTAAATGAGTTCTGTGCTGCTTTCCTCCATCATCAAAACATTTCTTTATCCTTAATGAGCTGCAGATAAAAGGCATTTCCCCCACTCACCCCACCCCACACAGTGTCAGGCCATCTGGTAGTAGCTACCTCTATCACTTGACCAATCTTTGGTTTAATTCAGTTGACTGCCAAGGTCATCCCCTTCCTCTCCCTCGTGGGAGTTTTCTCTGTCCTCTGTAGTGTCCTTTCTAAGAATATAGTTGCTTATTCTAGATCAGGGAAGAACAGCCCGTTACCTACCTAGTAAGTCTGTGAATACAATACATCTTTTTGGCAAATCTGTCACTTATTAACATATAACCAGCACCCTAGAAAGGCAGCCTGTGGGAGCTAGATGAGGCATTGGAAGCTGTGGTTTCTCACCTATGTTACAAAGTTGAGAAGAGAGCCAAAGAGCTAGTAGCTTGCTTACAGACATCTAGCTGTGTGCAGGCAAAGCTACCATTAGACTCATGTCTCCAACTCTGTCTAGGGCTCTCTCCATGGTGTGTAGCAGCAAATTTTCCACAGTGCTGGGGCTCCAACTCTGGTCTTGTGCATAATGAGCACTTTGCTACTGAGCTACATCCCCTGCCTGTGGGTTTTTGAGGTCTCTCTTGCAGTGTAGCCCAGGTTGGCCTCTAACCTTCAACACTCTTGCCGCCCAAGTACTGATCTTTTAGGTATGTGCCACATGGCTACCACCAACATTGTTACAGCTAATGGATTATCTATGCACTGACTGGATAATTATTTTCAGTTGCTTTCGTATGGTGTTGTGTAAGAGTGACACTTAACCAGCAAGCTGTTGGTGGCAACTTAAATCTTTCATTATGGCACTGAAATGTTTCTCAGGCTTGTTTCCTCCTTCCCATTTCTGTCACCTCTGTTCAGTCAGGTTCTTTCATGTCCAACACCCTGTAGGGTCTCTTTTACTCGCCTTTTCCCCACCAGTCCTTATCTAATTGATCCTCCTGAATGTTTTAGAACCTTTTTCCTAATCTTGGTTCTGAATGTTGCCCTTTTCCCCCATAACCTTCACTTCTCCACTGGCTGTCACTCCTGGGAGGACACCAAAGTGTTCCACAGTGAGACTCAAAGCTCTTCTCTGGCCTTACCATTCCTTCTTGTGTACCTAATATAGGTGCATAAAAACTCCAGGAAGCCATGTAACCACTGAGCTTTCTAATAGCTTTCTCTGGGCCATTACATTTATCTGTAGGATACTTGATGGAGGTCTTTTTACCCTGCCACGGAAAGAGGGACACTAAATACAGTGATACTTTTACTTTGCCCTTCAATGCCATGTTTTCATTATATGAAAATCCAACACCCACCCCTACTTAGCTACATGGAAACTCCCATTAGGACAAAAGGTGGGATTCTTAAATCTTAAAGCAGTATACATGACCAGGCGCCTGTGGCTCATGCCTAGCTACCCAGGAGGCTGTGATCTAAGGATCATGGTTTAAAGCTGGCCCAGGCAGAAAAGTACCAGTGAGACTTTTTTCTCCAATTAACTCAAAAACTGGAAGAAGTGGTGCTGTGGCTCAAGTGATAGAGCACTAGTCTTGAGCACAAAGAGTTTCAGGGACAGCACCCAGACCCCGAGTTCAAGCTCCACAACTGCCCCTCCCCAAAAAAAGCAATATGCATGAAAATGTTTACCATTCATGACAGCAATCAACCAAGGAGTGACAACCTAAATACTCAATAGCTAATAAGAGATGGGGTGATACAGTCACTAAAACAATTACAAAACCAATAGTGTAATATTAAAATATAAAATAAATATATATATGAAAATATTAGTATGTGTGCCAGGAAGGTGTGGGCAGTAGCATGGATGTGTGGGAGGTGCTTTGTTGATGCTAACAGAACGTGTGGCAGACCCCTGCTTGCCTACTGCATGAGGGAGTAGATAGGGATACTGCAATCAGCAGTGAATCCTAACTCCAGTGCTTGTCTGGGGTGTGAATGTGGCCAAAACATTTAGCATCCCAGGCCACAGTTACTGCTTCTGCTCCACAAGGATCAAGTAACAACTTAGGGGGAAACTCTAATCCATAGTTTGGCTCCACAAAAGCTAGTTTCCCTTCATCCTTTATTTACCTGGGACAGGAGGTTTCTGATTTCTTCTCAAAACTTGTAATGGGAGTCACCGCCTGGAGAGCCGTCTGATTCAACTTGATGGCGACTGCCTACAAGCCACAGGAGAAACCACGCTCAGGCCAGAAGGGGGATGCCTACCTTCAGGTGCAGGTGCAGGCAGTGGCTAGTTACCTCTGGGTTTTCAGTCAGGTAGATCTGCCTGGAGATGTTGTGTATTGCACATATCCACTGTAGGGGACATTAGAAAAAAGTCTGAATTCCACAGTTACCCACTACACTGAGCCAGAGGTGAAACAGACAAAGCTTTACCTCTTCATGTTCTTTCCTGCTCTCTGCCTGGAGGGTTATCCCCCTGCAAAAGAAGGCATCTCAGTCAGTGCTCCCCTGACCTCAGAGACTGAGGGATGTTCTCATCAGCTGACAAGGCACCAGGAGAGCAGCACCATGGGATGGAAAAGTGTGTGTGTGTGTGTGTGTGTGTGTGTGTGTGTGTGTGTGTGTGTGTGTGTGTGTGTGTGTGTGTGTGTGTGTGTGTGTGTGTGTGTGTGTGTGTGTGTGTGTGTGTGTGTGTGTGTGTGTGTGTGTCTCTCTCTCTCTCTCTCCTAGTAATCCACTTGGGTGACATCTAGCAAATACTGGCTTGCCAAACGAGAAGGCCTCCGGTCTAGTGTGAGCTTGTGGTTCTGCAGTGAGGACCATCTTCCTGACTTGGATGATGTAAGACAGCCGGGACTCTGGCCCAGCCACTTCCCATCCACGTACGTACTTCTAAGCAAATGAATGGCAGGGAGTATGCTAACAATAATGCTGACTGCCTTCTGCTAGTTCCTTTGCTCCTCATATCTGTGGCAGGTGGGGACACAGGTCTCATTCCTATTCCTAGCTGATGAGACCTAGGGACCCAGAGGTGTGGAGTAACTGCATGGCATCATGATGGATGTAGGCATTTTCATTCCCAGCTTGCTGCCCATCACCATCTTTAGAGGAAGGAGGCTGCCCAAGGCTGCTTTGAAGTCAGAGAAGGGCCAATCCACACCATCCTGACCAGTGCCTTCCTCACTTGCGGGCTGGCAAACCCTGAGGTACTTCCTGGGCTCTGAACTCCTTAGACAGCAGTGTTTTAAGGGAATCCACTGGGCCATCCCAGTGGGATGAGATATGCTGTGAGTGACATCTCTACTGAGCTGCCATGCTGCAGAAGTGTGTGGTTTAAGCGGTAGAGCACAAGCCTTAGCAGAAAAGCTAAAGGATACTGTCCAGGACCTGACTTCAAGCCCTAGTACCAGTACCAGCACACACAAAGAGCAGCCAAGGTGCATGCCTAGGATCTCTTTGGGGCCTCTGGAGACCTTGGGGTTTGTGGAGACCACGTGGGAAGAGAGGATTCCGCACTAGCTGAAGTACCTCCTGTTTGGGCCGTAAAAGGAGCCCCTTCAGATATTCTTACTTGTTCTCCTCAGCCCTATCACACTGTCACATGAAACCAAGTGCTTGCGAGCAGCCGCAGCCTTCTCTCTCCAAATCAACTTCTATCACTTGAACACCAGACCCTTTCCATTCCAGAGACACAGATCCTTGCCAGTGCTCCCTAAATAAGGCACGTAAATCATACTGAACACAAGGGAAAACCATTCTCTTAGCAACACCCCGAGTGGGGCCTCTCACAGGGAGAGCTGGCTCATGAGAATGAGTTCAGAAACCCTCCATGGGGCAGTCACTACACTTGTTCTCCCAAATAAAATTTGTGCAGCATACGATTTCCCATTAGGTGTGGTGATCTGGAAGCAGTATCGCCGGTCCTCACAGTCCACCGCCATCACTGAGCAGTTGTCCAGGTCCTGGATCAGTCCTCCAGCCACCGCTCCCCTAGGCTGACACATGAGGTTACCGCCTTGGGTGAAGAAGTAGAGTCTCTCCCAGGTGGTGGTCACCAGCCCGGTTTTGCTGTAAAATTATGTATGAAAGCCCATTAGCACTAGAAAATGGGAATGGCACCTCCAAGTTGGGTTGCCTGTTCAAGGTCCTGGAAGCATTCAGAAATAACGTCTTTGTATCAAAGCAAAACCACTTTGACAAGCACTCACATGAAAAGTAGCAGAAGAGATAACAGTTTCTCTTGAGTGACCTGGAAACCATGGGCCCTGCTCCCAGCACCGACTCCAGACAGGTGTGTGGGATGGACCTATCCCCCAACCCAGCCATATTCAGCTTCCAAGCTGTCAGAAACATCAGTCCATCACAGTTAGGAACGGAAAACCTGCAAGATCATCCTCCAGGGCTTAAAGCCTACCTGTTCTGAATCTAGTCAGTCACCTCAGCCCACAGCCTCCCCCCCGCCGCACCCCCAAATCCTGGGAGCTCTTGCTAGCTTGGGTTTCGCTCTAACTGGAAGCTGTTCTCATTTTCTGGGGTGCTTACAAGAAGAAAATGCAGTTCCTTGGCACAAAACAACAGAACTTTGTGGGATTTTTTAAAGCCTCTACAGAACTACTGGAAGCATTTCACTTGTGATCTTCACAAGTTTTCAGACCTTAGGAGTGCTCTGTGACAATCCTGTGGAGATTACCAAACACAGAGTGGCAGCTATGTTCAAGGAACTGGGTATCGTGTACCAGTAATTTCTAGAAATAAATAAGGCTGACTCTGAGAGCCCCCAGTGCTAGCAGTGGCCTCATTCAATCCTCACAAGGACTTTATGAAGTAGGTGCAGTCTCAGATGCAGAGATGGACGCTCAGCCCACCAGATGTGTCTCTCAGAGGCCAGGACTCTCCCCTCCCCCCTCCCTTTGCTCTTAGAAACAGCTGGACCTGACCATCCCTGTCAAATTCACGATAGACAGTTAAAGACAGGAGTGTTAAGTATAAAATGTAATCTGAAGGAATATGACTGAAAGCTTTCTGATTCAACCCTTGCCTTACTGCAGGTCTCTGGTTTTTTTTCCTGCCAGCAACAGGGGACCAGGGAAACAGCTCAGGATAATAAGTGTGTAAGAGAGGGCTGGGAAGGTGGCTCAGTGGTAGAGCGCTTGCCTTGCATGCTTAAGGCCCTGGGTTCGATTCCTCAGCACCACATAAGCAAAAAGAAAAAAGCCGTAAGTGGTACTGTGGCTCAAGTGATAGAGCGCTAGCCTTGAGCTGAAGAGCTGAGGGACAGCGCCCAGGCCCAGAGTTCAAGCCCACAACTGGACCCCCCCCCCAAAAAAAAAAAGTGTAAGAGAAGTCATTACAAATGGTCACAGTGACCAGAGTCAGGAGTGGTCTGGTGTCAGGGAGTCCACGGCATGGAGTGTTTGCACAAGTCTGTTCTAGCCCCACCTCTCAGTGCACTCTGGGCTCTGGGCACGGAGTGGTGCTGATGGAGCTCTTCCTCTCAGTGGCCACCTGAGAGATGGCCCACAGATGCCACTTCCTGGAGAAGGGGGGGGTTTAGAGAGAGGCAGGCAGTGGCCTTCTTACTTTCTGAGATTCAGGTAGCCAGCCTTTTGGAGGAGGTTCCTGTTGACCTGCGGTGCAGCCACATCAAAGTCTGGAGTGTACACAGACTCATCGACCGAGAGGAGCTCTTGCTGGGACACCTGCATCTTGTCCACCTCGGCTTCCAGTTCCACCTGAATGCTTAAATAAGATGTGGTTCATCGGTCACTCCACAGGCCTACTCAGGAGGAGGCAGGGTCTCCATCCCATCCCCCAAAGTTCCCTGCTTAGAGATGGAGCCACCAGCCTCACATAGCTGTAGTTCCCCACCCTCTAAGTGAAGCCCCAAAGCAAGAGAGAACAGGGACCTGGTTCTGCAGAGCGAAGTGTTTGTAAGACTGAGAACTACACCAGGAACACCCGGATGGTGCTGAACCCAGCTAACCAAGTTCACTGCTAGCAAAGAGCTACTACGTATGGAACTGTGAATATGGATTTTAGGAGAAGCCATCCCGAGGCTGTGTGGCCTAGCTCTTGGTTTGAGAAGGGGCAGTGGAGATAGCTACAGAAAAGGGAAAGTGGATGGCAAGTACCACAGGCAGCATTCTTTCTGTGACAGCCCTGAACTGGCTGCAGGTGCCCCCTGGAGCGTAGAAGAGGCCAGCTGCAGTACGACAGCGTTTGCTTCCTGTGCCTGTGTGCCGAGGTGTAGGAAACTTGGCAGCGTTCACCTCAGCAGCCCCTTCCCTTTTGCCCTGTGATGAGGCATCACCAGGCGCCCCACCCAGTGGTGACAGGTGTGGGTTATAAAGTCCTAGCCACAATCAGCCTGAGATGGCCCACTTCTGAGAGCAGGAGAACATGAACAGAAGACGTGGTGTCCCATTTCACTGTGTTAAGAGGATCATGAACCCTAAAATCAGGGGAATAAAGGGGTAAGTCGAGAGTTTCCTCAAAGTGATTGCCTTGGGATTTTCTCTCTTCCATGGTGAAGTTTACTTCTCTTGTTTGATGCAATAGACTATCTAGGTTAATTGTGGCTTTTCTGCCATTTGAATGGATGACAAGGCACTCTACCACTGGAGACCTTAGGCCTGACGGCTGGACAAGGCTCATTGGCTGAGCCTGTTAGTCACTGAGAGAAAGGAGCTCCAGCAAAAAGTTGGCACGGCCAAGAGCACTGCTGAGGCTCTTGAGCTTCTGTGGGTCTAATGAAAGGTAAGGAGTGTCTCCTCAGAAACACGTGTAAACTGGGGTGACATGCTGCACACAAGTTCAGGGTGTTTACAGTAACTGCTGTGCACTCCCCACCCATAGACTCACAGGCTAAAACACACACAACTAATCTAAGGCTGACAGGATCCAAAGGAACATGGTAGGAGAGTAACTGCTTTCAACTGTTCCTCTTCAAGTGCATCAGAAATGCGTGAAGCATTGTGATCACCAGAAATGAAAAATTAAGGCAGGATGAAGACACTGAAAACAAGGGGGGGGGGGGGTGATAGATTAGCAGGCTCTTCTCTTACTTTCTCCTAACATTCCCAGAAGGTAGTAGTCAAAAGAGATTTCACCAGCTGCTCTGGCACCATCATAAATCTAAAGCTGCATCACTTGCTACTGCCAGCTCAGTGGCCCAGGAAGGAGAGTATGCTTCCAACTCGGCACTGGTTTTGCCTGGGGTTCAGTCTCTACTTCCACAGCCTTTCAGGCCGCTACTTGGCTTCCTCAAGCTTTTGGAATGTAGTATCTTGAAGAAAATGAGCAACTTGCTCTTCTTTTTTCCATATGAAATAAAGTGCCACGTTCATTTCCATTTTGTATATATTTAAACACATACACACACATACAAATACACACAGAACTAATAACAGGCACTTAAGGAGTCACCCCTCTGTCCTCTAGGTGCCACAAGTCTGGCCCTCTGGAGCCCAGGGGCCACCTGAGAGCTCCATGGTAGAGGGTGAGAGAAGGCAGGACCTGGGCGGCCTTGCCATCCAGTCAGTGTGGGTGGCTGAACGGCAGCTTGTTAAAGTAACCAGGGGGCCCGGCCTCATACTGTCTCATGGCATCCATATAAGTTAACGTGACAGCAGGCATTTCTGAAAAAGGGAAAAAATTGTGGCTGCTAATCCCCTTCCCTCAGAAGAAAACAGCAAATCTAAAGGGCACTCAAAAGCTTATGACACGTGAAACTTGACTATTAACAAAGCGAGCCTGACAACAGTCACTCGGACTTAAGGAATACCCGTGGGGATTAATTTTTAATTTGCCTCTTTGTTGCCTGCACTTCACATGAGTTGGGAGCTGTAGAAATCATTAAATTCAACTCTGCTCCCCAGACATTCACAAGTGAGGGACTGTCTCAGAGTTCACGGCACAGAGGGGGCTGAGAAACCCTCTACAGGAAGAAAGGCCCTGCCTCCCAGCGACGCTGACTCAGCAGAAAGGCAAACCAGACAGCAGCATTACCTTTGCATCATGCCTGCGACCGAGGCTAAGAAGCTGTCCATACTACTGGAAAACATCGCTGCTCCCTTCTTAAAAAAATCAATCTGAAAGAAAGAAAACGGTATGAAAAAAGTGATGGAGGCTGTCCCTCAGTGTGAGGCCCACCACACTGGCGAGCTAGGGAAAGGGTTCTGGCTGTCGGCTGAGAGGTGTAAATGGCAGGAATAATGAAAGGCAAGTGCCTTGTACATTATTAAGTCACAGTAATTTCAATGCTTTATCTCTGCAATTAATAGTAGCAGCCATTTCCTTACGTGAATCCTGGAGTTTCTTGAGGTCCCATTCACCTTTCTATCTACATGAAGTGCAAGGGTGATACGTGACACCAGCAAGAAACAGATGAGCACTTGCTGTGGCCAGCATGAGCCATTCAGGGGGTAGCCCTGAAGACTACCATATGCCCAACCTGCTTCACTGAGCCGCTGTGGACCCAGGCTAGCGGCTGCAGCGAGAAACCTGGATTAAAGACCCCTATTAGCCTCTTCCAATCATGATATTAAATCAGAGGGGATTACATGCATAAAGGACAGGGCAGGAACCTGGCACTATGCACCTGCTCAACACAGGAAAGGCCCCTTCTCCCTAGCTTTCTATAATGGACTCTTTCTCTGTCCAGGAGAGACAGTGCTGTGTGGAAATGAAACTACAGTTGCTGGCTTTCAGTACTAAAATGGAAGGAATGCTTCTTTCCTGTGCGCTGGTGTGACACTCACTTCCAGAAGGTCTGGGTGTCCTGACACATCCTGTGGGACAGAGTTCAGGGAAGAAGGAGGGAGATCAGGTCTGGGCACTACTGATTTCTACAATTACCCACCCTGAAAATCACAAGCTGCTATTCTGTACAGCTACTGGCTTTCAAAAATCTGGACACTAGGAATGAAACACTCCATTTGGCATGTGTAATGATGGGCAGATAAGAGTCATGAGCCAAGGTCATGAAGAAAGAGGAGGATTCCGTGAGGATATTCCCTCATCTGGTCCAGCAGCTTGCTTGCCCTGGTGAGCAAGACAATAGCTATCATCGCATCCTGCCCTCTGCTCTGCAGGCAGCCTGGGAAAACAGGTACACCAGTGATGTCCTCAGTTATCACAGGGTCAAATCACATGACCATGATTATTCTCACTCAGGGTAACATTCATGGGATGTTCTGGCTCCATGATCTTTGAATTACACAGAGATCAGCACTGTAAATGCCATTTTCAATCCCTGCAATGTCAAATACCAACATGGCACTCATCAGTTAACAATATTAATCCAACATCTAAACATTCTTCATTTCTACAGGCCCAGTATTCTGAGATCTTCTCCTGTGCTTCTCCTGCATAACTTCCCTTTGAGTTGTCACTCTGAGCCTATGGCATAGTTAGTTGTTTGATCACTCTGTAAGCTCTTCGGGATAGAGGCCACATTGTCCCTGAAAACATCTGATGAATGGAAGATTCTGACCTCTACAGCCATGTGACCTAGTACTTCCTTTTAGGCCTAGGCAAGAGGTCATTTATGTGCTCAAAAGCCTTTATATAGATTGCAAAACCTCACTGTGCAGGCATGAGGACTGAATCATGACTTAATTGCAAACCTGTTTGCCAAAGACCACAGAAGCTACACCTCTACAAAGGCAAAAGGTGCTGAGACGCCTCATTCGGTCTTCACCCAATGGGCGTAAGAAACAGCAGGAGTGCAGTTGCTACACCACCATCAGCTAAGATCAGGCAGGGGAACCTGCCTTCTTCTTCCATGAATACTGACTTCCAAGGGCAGAACAGCAGACACTCCTGAATCACCTGCAGGGTGAACTCATGGAAATAACTAGGCTTTTAAAAGTCAGTAAGGGAAGGACTAACTTTGTCTATGTCCTGAAATCTTCCTCAGGCATGGACACCATCCTTCTGTCACTAGCTGCAATGGTGACCTCTGTCTGCTCCATCCACCTGGGCCAGGGGCTGTGTCTCTGCAAAGGCCTCCACAGCCACATCTCCTGAGGCTACAGCACTCACTTACAACCCCAGGCCAGAAGAAGTGGTGAAGCCCTTGACCATAGGAATGGAACCAGCTGGCATCAACATCCTTTGGGCCTTGTGAAGACGCTCCTCCAATGCAAGCTCCACAGCCCTGACCATCAGACTGGAGAGCTTGTCTTTTAGACTCTCCTTGGTTCTAGGTGCTTATACCCCTACATAGAGAGTATGTCCATCCAAGAGAAAGAGGGACAAGCGAGTGCCCATTACAGTGCCAAGGCAGAGGCTGAGTGCTCTCAAGGACTTGGGGACGGAAGCCCCCAACAGTGGTGGTTGTGGACTAAGCCAGCTTTACTCAGAAAAGCCCTTCTTCTCTTTTTAAATATTACCTGTGAAGGCATACGCTGACTTAAGTGAACTCCCCACTCACCAATGTAACAACTATAACAGGAGGACAAGACAGCTGAGCTCAGATGCTTCAGGACCCCTTATTTCCCTTTTCCCCAGTGAAACTCACATTGCATCTCTTTTCAAATATGTTGTAAAATGTGTTATAAAGGCAAAAGATGCTCCTATGGAAGGCTGCTTAAACGTGGTGACTTCATTCTTTTCAACATTTTGCTTCCGCACATCCGCTTCTGTTCCTAGGCTGTCCAGTGAGAGAGGATTCTGTGTACTTATCACACGCTCAAGTGAGGGCTTAGGGTTGGTGGTTGCTACAGTAGTTGAAGTGAGGCAAGTGGAAAGGAGAGGGTGGTGCTGCTAGCCTGACACACTCACGACCATCCCGCCACTCTTGTCCTGTGCTACAACAGCCCTGTCCTCATCCCTAAAGTGGATCAACCTTAAGACCACTAAATAGAAGGGATGTGACCAAATAAAACCCAGGCCAGGGTAAAACACTGGCAGTAAGCTTAGGGATGAATCCTTTGAGAATAACCCAGTGTGGGTGAACATGGCAGTGCAGAAAGGAACAAAGGAAAAGCACAGGCCTGGTTCTGAGCCAGCAATCCCAACCAGAGCAGGGAGCTTTGACTGCTAAAACAGACCAGGATGGGCTTTCATCTGGATCAGAATGACTTAGAAAGCGCTAGACAAAGGGCCAGGCAGACTCTTCCCCAAGGAAGGCTTGGGCCTGTGCCATCATTTCTTGAACAAATGACTCCATAGGTCCAGCTAAACAAGGTATAGCCCAGCTGGAAACTCTTCAAAGTGCCTCATCCCAGGAATTGCCCAGGGAGGCTGTGCATCTGCTTCTTTCTAGATGATCCTCTGTTTCTCCCTCAGGAGAAAGGGCTCTCCTACCTGTCCTTGGGCAAAGCCTATCATGGGCTCCATCATAGCCACCCGCTTTCGATACTGCAGCGCGTTGAGGGCACAGTAGTACTGAAGGGACGACAGGTGCTGTTTCCGCCGGGCAGCTGCCACCTCTTTCCCAACTTCAGTCTTGACCTGGTTAAAAGGTGAAGAAGGGAAAACTTCAAGTTGTCTACTGGGCATGACAATTCTGCAAGAGGATGCAACTTCAAAACGCATTTGCTTGTTCATTATAACCATTTTTGTGACAAATACAGTAACACAGAGATAAGGTTATACCCAAACCTAAAAAAAAAAAAAAACCTCAATTAAAAATATCCAAGGCTGAGCTCAAGCCTATAATCCTAGGCATCTGCGATCTGGAGATCCCAGGAGTCTGAGATCTGAGGATTGCCATTTGAAGCCAGCCTGTGAAGAAAAGTCTGTGAGATTCTTATCTCCAATTGAGCATCAAACAAACAAACAAAGCCAGAAGTAAAGCTGTGGGGGTTAAGTGGTAGAATGGTAGGCTTGGGCAAAAAAAAAAAAAAAACCTCAGGAATAGAGAGCAGGTGAAGGTCAAGCCCCAGAAGCAGCACACACACACACATGCACGCGTGCAAACACACACACACACTAAACAAAAAATACAAAAGTAAGGTAGCATCCCAGTGCTGTGAGGCTGCACGGCCAGCGCTTTCCTGAAGCAGTGCACAATGCTGCAGCACTTCAGGGTAACAACAAAGAGGCAGGCATAAAAAGCCAGACACTTAGCATTATGCGTGATTGTATTCCAAGGAAATCGCCTAACAGAAATACAAAGGTATGTACATAAAGGTGTTCAACAGTCTAGACAGGAACAAAACCCGCAAAGAGCAGGGGCTGAGGACCCTATCAACAAGTGGGCAAGGCACTCATGTGACCCGAGGGACATGTGACAGAGCATCAAGCTGGGGAGTGATGATCAAGATGCATAAATTGACATGTTGAATTACAACTCCTCTGTACAACTAAAAATAACCTAAAAAACACAGACTTTTACAGTGGCTGCAAGTTGGTGTACAAAAGAAGCCAGATGAAAAGGCTAAGGGAAGTCAATGCCTAGTTAGCAAACACAGGATAGATTTATGAGGGCCACATATAGGAAAAAGATAGAAGCCCATCAGGACCCCCACAATGCCACGAAATTCCAAGAGGAAGACACATGAGGAGCTTAAGTAGATGACCTGAAAATAACACATAGAGCACACTTACCCTTTCATTCTCCTTCTTTTTAGGAAGCCTGCTGTATTTTGCCATTGAGAGGTCATGCTCTGAAAAGAAAGATATCTGAGAATCCAGGAAGACTGAAAGGCAGGGACATTCACTCACCATTTTCTCCCCACATCACCAAACCCACAAACCAAGAATGGAGAAAGTGCCTACCATTGCTGGCGAGTCCAAAAAGATCTTTCAAAGTGCTGACTTCTGAATAGGAGAAAAGAAAGCATCTTAGAGCAGAGGAAAATAGAAGCTGACAAGCAGAGCTCTGCTTTCCTGAGAAGACAAGTATATGCTCTGCGTGGGCCCTGGCGTAGTGGCTGAGGTCTGATCTTGCCATACGCCACACCCTGAGCCCCTAGCTGTACATGCAGCCCTTCCTCTTCAGAGCGGGCACAGGTTCTGGGGACATGGAGACAGTGGTCATCAGTACTCTTCATGAAGGCCCGCAGTATAAATTTAAGTTCTGATTCTTCAGCTCCTGTCTTGTTATGTTCTTCCTTGGAATACAATCAGGACTACACCCAGAACCTTGGTCTCCTATTGCTGCCATTTTAACATCTGACTTATGTGTCACCACTGGACAAAGAAAGGAATACAGGAGGTTTGTGTTAATGACAAACTTAGACAAACTGATCACAAGCCAACACCAATAACCATGATCCCACAGGGGTGACAGACACCAATCCCAGCTCATAACAGCAAAAAGGCCAATGAAAAATGCAGGGACACTGAAAAGAAAGTGACACTTCCTATCATCCAAACACAACCAAGCATGCCATATTTTCTATGTTCTTTTTCAGTTTGCTTCCAAAGTATCCCCAGATGTTATATTTCCCTGTCTGAATACTGGACTGCTTTCTACCTTCCCCTCCTGCATTTTCTTTCTTTCCACCTTTTACTTTCTGGTGGAGCTGTTTTCAGGTTTTGAACTTCACAGTTTTAAATAGCTTTGTTAATAACTCTCATGTTATCTTTATTCAGATTACAGAATAAGGGTGGAAGCTTTAAGACAAATACTACTATGGAAGCCAACAGGACACCATGTTCTAACCTGCCTCTGGTGTGGACTCAAATGTGAACTGGGCCACACACTTCAAGTTTATGTCTTGTGTCATCAGGAAAGGATGGTCTGATTAGCTTTTTTTTTTTTTTTCTTGAACACTAGTAAGTTTCTGTTCTGAGTACTAATGAGTAATTTGTTCTCCATTTAGGAAGAATCATCATCCCAGGCAAATGCTAATCTGTATATTGGGTCCTGCTGGAGTAAGGAAGGCCACTGTCACTAACACCGCTGGGTGCTCCCAATCCTGGGTCTGCTGCCCATGAATATATCAGAAAGTTGTAAAGACGACAACACAGAACTTCGAGAATGACTACACCTTTCTGACAGACTTGGAATTTGCTTTTCAAAAAACACCCCAAGATTCCTAACACTTTTACTTGAAGGAAATACTTTGTAAAACGCACCCAATGAGGCTTTCAATTAGGACTGCAAAATCAGCATGTGGCCACAGTTACCAAGTTTGGGCTTCACATGCAATTAGTGACAAGCAACAATAAACCACTGCAACTCCTGCCAATGAAGGACTCCTTTTGCACATGCCAGCTCATATACTACTTAGTGTTATTTGCTTATCAGATGGGCTTTGGGTAGAGCTTACACCAATTCTCCTATGGCTCCTCAGCTTCAGGTGACAAGATCCAATAGGACCTCAAAGGGAGGGAGAAAAACTCATCTTCACCATTTGCATTTATATTAACTGCATCTTTACTGCCTACCAAAGTGAACTTTTTTTTTTTTTTTTTTGGTCAGCTGTGGGGCCTGGACTCTGGGCCTGGGCACTGTCCCTTAGCGCTTCAGCTCAAGGCTAGTGCTCTACTACTTGAGCCACAGTGTCACTTCTGACTTTTTCTGCTTATGTGGTGTTGAGGAATCGAACCCAGGGCCTCATGCATGCATGGCAAGCACTCTACCACTGAGCCACCTTCCCAGCCCCACAAAAGTGAACTTGAAAGTCATATACCCAACAGTTCCTCTAGTACCCAGGTTTAGACTTTGGTCCACTGAAAGTTTTTGTGGTTACTGGAGTCTGAACTCAGGCCATGTACTTGCTAGGCAAGTGTTCTACCATTTGGGCAATGCCCCCAATTTACTTTTTAATGAGTGTTTCCTCAAGTATAATTCTTTATCGTTAACAAATACTTTGTATGAAATAAGAAATCTCAGAAGAGTAGAAAACTGTTGATGCTGATACTTTTCTAACATCAACTAAGTTTTTCAAAATTATTAATTCCTTTTTCCACACATGTTTTTAGCTAGTTTGCTTTCTCACAGATAAAAAATTACCCTAGAATTTAATGTAGCATTAGAACCAAGATAACTCCAAAAGGTCATTCAGCCTCTCTGGGCCATCAGACCCTCTCACTGAGTGAGCTTCAGGACCTAGCATGTCCACAGCTACACCCCAAAATGCAGAATAGAGAAAGTGGAGGTCCCAATGAGTCCTTTCCTGAGTGCCCATATGACATTCCAAAGCATGTATGGCTGGTCCTCAGGACCAGTTGCCTTTACAAATCCACTCAGCATCACTATCTGCTTGGTAAAGAGGCACATGCCACTAAGACATCTCCAACCATCTCTGGGAAGTCTTCTCTAGCCCCTTAGACCTAAAGAAATTGTGCCTTTCTGTGTGTTCTTCCCATCTGTCCTGTGGCTCACGACACCACACTACAGAGATCTGTTCCCATCTTGCCTCCTTCAGGTGAGCCAGAAACCTGGTGGGACTCACAGTGTTTGCTGCACTGAACTGCTCAAAAAGAAAGGCAGATCTCAGCAACTATATGTTTAAAGAAATTAATCCACTAAGAATTACTAAGTCAATTTAAAAAATATGGTGAAAGTAACGGCACAGTTTGTTTACCTGTGAGATCCTTTTCTCGAAACTGTATAACAGGTAGAACCATGGTGTCTGCCAACTGTTTAGCCAGCTCAGTGTGGAGAACATTAAGCTGGAAGAAAATCATGATGCTATTACTGTCTGATGCAGTTCCATTTCATCAAGGGGTCACCAGACTATTTCTGTATGGCTGAGCAGTTCAGCTACACTTCTTTAGCAATTCCTAAAGTAGTAAATGAGATAGGCCTGGAGGTGGTGAATTAAATGCCTGGTTAGGGCAGACCAGGGCATTGGTGGGGCTTTCTGACCATAGGTACTCTTGATTTGTGGTACTCTGGGTCTGTGCCACGCCCATCTGCACAGCCAGATTCTGTAGTTGCTGGCAATGAATGAAGCTTGCTGGCAGTGCTCAAACTTACTTAGAGGGCTGAAGTCACACCAGAAAAACTGGCTGTGGGAGCTGGACCGGCCTCACCCAGCTGCAGGCTTGGGGAGTCATCTGCAGAAGGGGGGCATGCTATGAAACTGTTGCTATGCTATGAACAGTTGTAGCTCTGGCCTTCCACTCTTTCTAAAACAGGATGATGCACCCAAATGTGACGCCTCTCAGCACACAGTTCTAACAACTCTTATTCTCTCTTCCAACCTCAAGGCCTGATGAAATCCTGCCTGTGTTAAGTGGCCTAGGAGAGACAGAGAGGATCACCTCTAGCGCTACCATTTGGGCACTTTTTGTGTACCAGCTTCTCACATTTACATTCACCTTGTGGGCTAGGTGTTCTTGTCCCCATTTCCCAGATAGGTAAATAACCTTCAAATCCAGAGAGGAAAGATACAGCGCAGCTGTGCACCCCACAACCTGGGATGTGGAGTCTGTCCTTTATGTTCACCACGCTGCTTGAAGCACATGCCAGCAGGGCACACATGAAGGGCCAGCCCCAGCAGACAACTTTGGGGATTCCTATCAGGGGGCTACGGGGGAAGTCTCTGCAATCTCTTGGCACCTTCAGCAGTGACAGTGGTTATGCATTCATCCCACAAAGGCCTGCCTCCTGGGGCTGGGGCCTCAGAGGCAGCTGAGAGAGAGGCCTCAGAAAAGCTTAAACTCTTGCCCAAGGCTAGCCTTTATCTAGAAAGGGAGCAGCTGAAAGCAGCAGCCCAAAGTAGCTGAAACAAGCTGAAAATATTCTCCTTGTTTTAATCTAGCCAAATCAGGGAGCTTTCTTCTGCTGGGAAAACATGAAGCCAGCCACACTAGTAAGTAGCATCAGGACAGAATGGGGTTAAATGTTTCCTGGAATGATTTCATTGAGAAATTTAACCTTTTTCATTGATGGTTAAATTAATGAACATCAACAAGTACACCGAGTACACCCTGGCTCTGTGCTTTCCTGATCATGCACTCAGGAACGGCAGACTTCCCTGTCAGTCTTTTCCTTCCTTGTTCCTTCCGATGGACCTAGGGGTTTTATGACATGAGCCTTTGAGGTGTATGGGTTGCTGACCACAAACCTTTGCTAAGGAGAGTAGAAGGAGCAGATCGCTCTCATCTCAGCCCTTTGAGATCCTCATACAGAAGATGGAGGTAGTACCATCTCCTTAAATGGCTACCAAGAGGATAAAGCCTGACCCAATGTGCTGGGCATAGAAGGTTTAAGGAAAATGACTGCTGGTCTTAGGGGCACCCTGAGGGAGAAATCCAGAAACCCTGCTTTTGTGGTAATTACCATGATTGGGAACCTCTGTGTAACATATAACAGACAAGAAAGACCCCACCTCAAGATGGCCTATTACATTAAGCCATGTAAGTCTCTGTTTTTTGTTATTCTTTAAGAGTCAAGTTACTTGTCTTGAAGCCTTTTTCACATGGCTTAGGCTCAGGTGGAATCATCGGCTCTCCTCTCCTCAGATCTGGACCCCTCTGGGCTGGCTGCACCTCTCACAGGCCTGTCCATCATGAGGCTCTACTGTGAAGCGCGCCTGTCCATCATGAGGCTCTACTGTGAAGCACCTCACAGTGCCAGCCTCCTCGGAGGCCCTGATGCTGCTATAAAATCACCTTTAGGTTCTGCCCGGTACCCATAGTAATTGAGCTATATGATTACGATTTTCACAATTAGAATTGCGTGTTTCCCATAACAATAATAGTTCTTCACATACATTCTACATAGAAGTAATGGTTCTATGACTTTGTTACGCCAAGACACACTGGGAACCACCGAAGACTAGCAGAAGGAAGGATCCTACTAAGCCTGTGTGAGTACTGTGGTCCTGCAAAGTCCCTTATGTAGTCCAGAATAATGAGAGAATAAATTCCTGTTGTTTGGAGCTATCTAGCTGGGATGACCTCTTGCAGCTGCCTTAAGAAACTAACAAATGCCTTAGCAACTGAATTCATCGACATCCCTTCGATGTACTGTTTGTGCCCATCAAAGCCTTTCTTTCTCAACCACAAACATAATGCTATGGCGCACCTGTTATAGATAAACTAGAAGATGATCAAGTTGACCTAGCTTCTCAGATATTTAAGTAGATACTTTTTAAATGGAGTCATAACCAACATAAGCATGAAAAAATGTAAAAAGAATTTAAAAAATGTCCCATGTTACTATCTTACCTCATCTACCACCTTGGAAAAATAGTGGAGTGTAGAAATTACTTCTTCATCACCTTTGCCGAGAGCAAAATTCTAAGACCAAAGAGATAAAAGAGCCAAGTGTTAACTGAAATTGGGAATTCAGCACTAGTGCATGGCCTACAAAACTATTACCAACTACCAAATTATTACCCTATCTAAGCCTAATGTATACCTGAAGAAAACCAGACCTCTGCCTTCTAGCCCAGGCTGTATAAATACTACTTGCCCCTTTGGCAGTCCTTCCTTGGCCAGGCCCTTCTGTTTGCATACAATGATATCTTTATTTGAGGGCTCATTTCCTGGAATGGCTAGTGTTGATTCACTGGTCCTCCCTGGAGACTGAACCCTCAAGGACAGTGGATTACTTCTACAGGCTCTTTATAACACCTCACTCAGAGGACTTTGGCTCACTGCCAATTATAATTCATTAGAGGAAGAAAAGAGAAGATAAGACAGAAGGGAAAGCTAGAACAGGGAAGGTAGAAGAAGGAATGTAAGAAGGGAAGGAAGTGGGAAGGATGAAAGAAAATCTTTACAAATGCCTTTGGAGAATTCTTTAAAAGCAGCCATTTGGGAATAAAGTAATCCCTTACAACCACCAGTTACCTGCTTTTCGTATGCTAGCAGCTGTTTGGAAAGCTGTTGGGTGGCCAGGCACATTTCATTCTGCAGAGAGAAGGGGGAAAATAGCATATATAGTCACTGAAAAGGACTATCTCAGAGTAATATGTGTGTACCTGTGAAGTGACAAAACATTCTGTTTGGGTATTATTTAGAAAAGAAGATCAGTGGGCTGGGAAGGTGGCTCAGTGGTAGAGCGCTTGCCTTGCATGCATGAGGCCCTGAGTTTGATTCCTCAGCACCACATAAGCTGAAAAGCTGGAAGTGGTGCTGTGGCTCAAGTGATAGAGTGCTAGCCTTGAACTGAAGAGCTGAGGGACAGCACCCAGGCCCAGAGTTCAGGCCCCACAACTGACAAGCCGACAAAAAACAAACAAAACAAAAAAGAAAAGATGATCAGTGTAATTCTAGCACCCCAGAACTCAAAAGGCTGAGGCAGGAGGATCATGAGAGTGAGACCAGCCTGGGTTACACAGTGAGTCTCTGTCAAAAAAAAAAAAGAAAAGAAAAGAAAACAAGACCAAGATGAATCAAAAGGTTAAAAGTTTGTTCTTTAAAAAACAAAACTCTCAAAACAAATAAGCAAACACATAAAGCTTAAAGTTGCTGTTCCTTCTGGTCATTCAATCAATCAACAAATTCAATGAGCAAGAGTGCAGCAAACTGTGTTGTCCTCATGGATTCACAGGGGAAGCAGACATGAAAACACATTTGCATCCATGCTGAGAACTGCAAAGGAAAATCCTTGGGTGTCAGGAGCCTGAGAGCATTCAGGAGGAGCTAGTGAGTGGCTAAGGGAGAGATGTTTAACCAGACCCTGTAGAAAGTCAAGCTGGCCACAGACACTGGCCTAGAAAGGGATTCCTGTGTCTGAGGCTCAGTGCACCTGCTCTTCAGACACAGGCTTCACCCTGAGACTGCAGAGCACAGGTCTGACCAGGCATGGTGGGAGACCCCGGCTGGCCTCCGCAGCCTTGGCCTCTACTTACTGTCTTCTCAGGAGTTATCATTCCTTTAAAACTAAGGCCTGGGCTCTACAGGGATTTGTTCCATTGGCTAAGGGGAAAGGGAGACTTATAAGAATATCAGAGCTGATTTCCACTTTAGGTCCTTTCCTGCAGCCAGCCAGCCAAACTGCAAACTGCTCCACGGAGCTGGAGCTGCTAGCATGCAAGCCTTTCTCAAGGACCTGGCATGGCTGATAATTGTTTTCCACACATTCCCCCTCCTCCTAACGTGCACCCTGAGGTGTATCATCATTATCATCACTTTACAAAGGGGATCAGAGGTTATAAGGGACAAACGCACACCTCACTAGAACTCCCATGAGCTGAGCAGCAACTGACAGGCAAAGAGTTAATAGTCTGTCAGGTTCCCAGCTCAGATTGCCAACCCTGTGCCATTCAGATCTGAAGGCCAAGATATTATCTAGTTAGTACAGGGGAAGAGGGTGGGCCTACAAATGACAGGATCTCTCACTTTTCTGGCAGTGGCTCAGCAGAAGAGGTGGACTAACACTCAGTCTCTAAGTGGACCTGCAAGTGTAACAGGCATTTCTTGGTGTGGAGCTGGAACATGTTAACCAGGTCTTCTACCACTGGGCCATACTTCCAGCTCCATAACACCCTGGGGACAGCTCTTGGGCCACCACCTGCACTCAGCTGCTTTCTATGAACCCTTGAAAAACAGAAGCTCAACATTTGGAGTTGAAGGTAGCTTGTGCAAGGCCCTAAGCTCCCTCGCCAGCAACACACACCCCACCACCACTACCACCATCACCACCACCATCACCACCACCAACAACAACAACAAAACCGCAAGGCAAGCTGAGGCAGAGCTTGCTGACAGCATCTCCTAAGTTAAAGAGGGCCTCCCCCAGCTGTTGCCAAGACAGAAGACAGTGGCTGCTAGTGACAAAACGTGAGCTGCTGGCAAGTGGATGTTTACGTTAGCTTGACCCAAGGGCTTACTGACTGCCTACTACAGCCACCTTAAACCACCTCTGCGGGCCTCTGGGCAGGCAGCACTGACCACAGCTGCTATGAATGGATAGGCTGGAAATAGGTCAGAGGAAGTCCATTGGGATTCAAAGTGACGGTTTAGCCATTTGCTGTATCAAGTTCGTGTGGCCAGAAATGTGGCCTAAACCTGAAGTAATGAAAGTCACCTTCATCATGGTATACACCACAGCACTGGGCTCCAAGACGGCACTCAGAGGCCCCGAGACAGAAGAAAGGATGCCTAGGGTGGCAAGAATAGATAGAAGCTGCATCTTGTGAGGGGGTTGTCAAGGACTTGCACTCTGTCCTGGAAGCACTGAGGCAGTGAGAAGCAGGCAGGAAGATGAGCAGAGCAGATCTGTGTGGCAGAAAAGTCCTGCATGGCTGTGGTGGGGAGGAGATGAAAGGGAAGGGGGTGGGGGAGGCTTGTAAGCAGACTATGGGCAGCTGAACGAGCTGTAAAAGAAGAGCCTGTGGCTCAAGTGGTGGAGTGTCTGCCTAGAAGTGCAAGGTGCTGAGTTTGGTCCCCAGTAGTGTCCCAAAAAGGGGGGGGCTGAGCCCAAACTAGATACAGCCCCAAAGGTGCCACACCTGTTCCCCAAGAAGAACACCCAATTCAGGATGGGAGGTGGAGGAGCCAGAAGAAACATTCTCCAGCCAGTTGTAGGTGGAGAGGCCCCATACTTGGTCCTCAGTCTGCCCCTTCTTGTCAGTACAGAAGGGGCCAGGTATGAGCTGAGCACTGGGAAAGGGATGATCTTCTTCCTGGAGTTCAGAGTCCACAAAGGGACCAGGAAGCCCCTTATACCAAGCGCTTCTGACCCCAAAGCACACAGGGCATCGGGCACACAGGGGAAGGGCATTCTAGCCAGGAAGGAAGAAGGAAGGAGGCCAAGAATGCTGGTAGAGACGCTCTGTCAGATTGGAAGTCAGCCTCAGAAGCCAGAAGACACTCTCTCCAGTTTTCCTCTCGTTTCCTCTTTCTTACATTAAGAGTAGAAGGACTTCCACAATAAACTAGCAGAATCACCACATAGTCCTCACTCAACCGTTAGCAGCAGCATAAACCTGGTTTTTAAAACATAATAATGAAAAATGATGCCTTACGAAATGCCTGGTTTTGGTTGTTTTATTTTGCTTGGTTTAGTTTTGAGACAGAGTCTCACTGTGTTTGAGGCCAGACTGTCCTTAAACTCTAATCTTCCTGCATCAGCCCCCTAAGTACTGGTATTACAGGTATGCAGATCACACTTGGCTTAAGTGTGTGTCTTTTTTGGGTCCGGTCGTGGGGCCTGAACTCTGGGCCTGGACGCTGTCCCTCAGCTCTTCAGCTCAAGGCTAACACTCTACCACTTGAGCCACAGTGCCACTTCTGGCTTTTTTCTTTATGTGGTGCTGAGGAATCGAACCCAGGGCCTCAGGCATGCAAGGCAAACGCTCTGCCACTGAGACACCTTCCCAGCCCCAAATGTGTGTCTTATAGAAATAAAATTATGAAACTCTATAATCCACCTCTGTATGTCTAAGTATGAAGTAGTTAAGGAATAACATGACATAAAACCAAGAAAATACAACTTGGAAGAAAAGAAACTTGAATGAAAACAAGAAATATTACTCTCTTTAATAAATATATATGGAAACAAACTGATAAAAAAGGATTCAGGATGTTTTTTTAAAAAAACAAAACAAAACATAGTAGGCTAAGCTTGCAAATAGACCCATTAAACTTAACACTGGTCCTGTGGCTGCCAGTCTGGATGCAGCTGGTCACTGACTGTCACCGAGTATACAGCACCAACCACACATTTCCACAGTCTATGCTGCAGGAAACCATGGGACGGTTTCTGGCCAGAGAAGAACCCACGTGACAATCATGTGCTGTGAATTAAAAGCTGTGTTCCAGCCTCTTGGAATGCAAGGCCTACTTAATTTTGGCAAAACACAGTTTACTGGCTTGGAAAAAAAGAGGGTGTCAACTCTCTAAGTCAATGGCTCTGACAGACATGGAAAAGCCAGACTCTTGGGAACATCAGATGCTTTTAAAGTCTTCAGCTTTTAAGCTTTAAAAATACTCCTTTATGCTGGCTGTTGGTGATGAAGACCTGTAACCCTAACTGCTTAGGAGTCTAAGATCTGAGGATCATGGTTCAAGGCAGCTAGGGCAGGAAAGTCTGTGAGACTTTTATCAGCAATGAGTCACGGAAAAGCTGAAGTAGAGCTATGGTTCAAATGATAGAAAACGAGCCTTGAGCAAAAAAGCTAAGTGGCCAGGCTCTCGAGTTCAAGCCCCAGGAACACCACAGAAAACAAAAGCAAAAAAAAAAAAACTCCTTTAATCATAGAATCCAAAGTTTTAAAGTGTTGATTAGCAAGCAAATTCACATATGATTACAGTAAAACATGTAGATTTTCTCAAATTTGGAATATTTAGGGAAAAAAAACAAAAACATACTATTTAAACAATCAGAGCTTCAAATTTAAAACTGACAAAGCAATATTGTTCTAAATTCTGAATACCAAAATAAGTCCACAAGAAAAATCAGAAATGAGCATAGGATTCTTGTTAAAAGTAGTTAGCATACTGCCACATTTATTTACATCTCAGCCCTACATTCTTGGGTTCACTTTGGTGACCCATAGACACATCAAAACTAGTACTAAGAGAGAATTATGGCCAAGTCTGGTGGCTCACTCCTGCAATCCTATCTACCGGAAGGCAGAGAAGGACAGCGGTCTGAGTCTGGCCTGGGCAAAAGTATAAAACCTTACTTTAAAAACTTAAAAACAGAAGGATGAGGGGAATGGCTCAAGTGGCCTAGTAGGTGCAAGGCCCCAAGTTCAATCCCCAATATTGCCAAGAAGTGAGAGAGGGAGAAGAGAGAGAGGGAATAAGAGAGAGTAGAAGAGATAGAGGCAGAGGTAGAGAGAGGGGATGGGGAAGAAGAGAGAGAATGATATAGGGCCCCCTCCCCAAATACACACATCTATATGTCCACATGCACACTTCATGTGCACACACATGCCGTCCTCTTCCTGTACCTGTATTCCTTCATCTATCCATCCTGTTGTTCAAGTCAAAGGCATGGCTATCACTCTTTCTTTTGAAAACATGTTTTCAATTTTACTTATTTGCAGTTGTGGGGCATGAAGTTAGGGCCTGGGCACTGTTACCCAGTTCTTTTCTCAAGGCTAGTACTCTACCACTTTGAACCACAGCATCAGTTCTGGGTTTTGAGTGGTTAACTGGAGATAAAAGATTCACCCAACCTTCCTGCCCTGGCTGGCTGCAAACCACAATCCTCAGATCTCAGCCTCCGGAGTAGCTAGGACTACAGGTGTGAGCCACCACCGCCTGGCTCATGTTTTCATCTTTAATTGCCACATAGTAATGGTACACCTTGATGGGGGACCATCAAGACATTCCAGTACATATTTATAATATCAGATGGAGGTAACTGGCAGGTTTATCATTTCAGACATCTGCCATTTTTGTGTTTGGGGGAACACAGCTGCTGTCGTCACTAGTTTTCCTCCTATGTTACAGAACATTTCTCCTACCTCAGTGCACCTCTTCCCCTTAACCGTCTTTCTCCATTGCTCAGATTCATCCTTCACCCACCTGATCCCTTCACATCCAATCCACCATCACTCTACCACCCCAACTCCTCTGACCTCCGCCCTCCTCTTTGCATTTCTGCCATCCTTTCTCTAGTTCAAGTCCCTAAGCCCAGGAGTAGAAGTGAAAAGTCTGAGCCGTGGCTTCAGCCACACTTGTTCTTCCATGCATTAATTGGTAGATTTGGGCACGTTACTCATCATCACAATCCTCAAGTCTCCTGAACTATAAAATGAGGAGACCCAACCAGAGCAGATGGGGAATTTAAATACAACCATCTATGCGAAATCCCTGAAACTGTCTGGAAGCTATGTAAAGCTCAAGCCCCCAACTATCGCAATCGCTCTCCTTTTGGGTGTCCAGCTGCAGTGTTTTAGATTTGAAATGTCCATCAAAATCCCACATGCTAAAAGACTTGGTCCTCAGCCTACTGGTAGGTGGTAAAACTTTTGCAAGGCTAGGCCTAGTAGAAGAAAGTTAGGACATTGAATGTGGGTCTTTGACATGGATTTGGGGACTCTGGTGCCCTCTCTCTCTCATGTGCGCCCCCTGTGTGCAACCCTCCTCCCCCCTCCCCCCACTCCCTGGCTCTGTTTCAGAGCCACCAGAATGTGACTGCTTTCCTGAACCACACTCCCCACCATCATAATGTACCACAGGCCAAAAACAACAGGGCTAAGCAACCATGGACTGAAACCTGAAATGATGAGCCAATATAAGTCATTTCTGTTTATAAGTTGCCAGGTCTTTTGCCACAGTGATAGGAAACTACCTAACAGAGCCACACAACTCCCTGGGTGAGGTGCCTCTCCTCCCCCAGCTCATCCAGCACTCACTGGTAATCATCTTGGTCTCTTAACCAACTCTAAGTTCCCGAATAGCAAGCACTGAGGCTTCTGCTATGGACCAATGGCTGACGGACAAGACAGTGACCAATCAGTACAGAGAGCTATACAATCATGACCACATGTGACTCTGAAGAGCTATGTAATACTATGTGACACTTAAAGCTTCAGAAATTAATGAGAAAAAGAAACATTTATAGAAACAGCTTTAAGGTGGCAAGGAGTCAACAGTGAAAACTATCCATTGCCATTATGTTTTTATGTATAATTTATTTTCAAGTAACTAAAATCTGCCCTTGGAAAGTGACAGACATTGCACTTCTAGATTTAAAAATGTTTGCTTGTGCAACTCAGCAATTTATTTTCTATGGTTTGCAAGCTAGAGATATTTGTTCCTCAAAACAAAGCAGTCACCCTATCTCCAGAACTGTGACTCAAGTCCTTTCACAAGAAGCCCTTGAAAGAACGTCTACACGCTCCCACACTGACACCCAAGACTGCTCATTTATGAGAAAGACAAAGAGCACGTCTTGAGATACTAAAGTCACTGGTTCACAGTGGGAAGAGGAGATGCTGGTGTTTCACTCTAGAGTTGGATTAAAGATGAATAAATACAAGCAGTTATGTGGTCCCTCTACAGGTTCTTGTTACAGGAGAGCAGCTCTCTTTCTCAAACAATGAAAACAGTCTCTATTTAGTTTTGGAGGTAAAGAGAAGTGAGGAAAACTATTCTGATTTTAGTTCAAATGTTTAAGTGTGGTTCTTTTGACTCTGATTTCCCTGACCTTGAAAGCAGTGGCATACCTGTGCTCCATAGACACGCTGCATGGCCTGCAGCAGCTGGTTGGTGTAATCCGTGAGGGTGCCAGCATCCTCCTCGAACACACTGAGCAAGGAGCGAGCCTGCAGGAAACAGGAGGACAAGGTCAGGCCTAGATCTAGGTGCTGAAGTCACAGACAACAGAAAGCACACACACTGCACAAGCTGGAACAGGAAGGAAAGGGGCCCAGTGATTTGTCAGCTTCATTCTTTCAAGGATGATACCAGTGTACAGCAGTTTCTGGAGCTGTATATGAGAAACTCTTTTCCAACACGCTCCACTCCAGTGAGGGGACTTAGCTCTACACGATGGCTCAGGGCCACAGAAGAAAAGCCAAGGGGTTTTTATTGGGGGAGAAGGGGAAAGTATTTCCTGGGGTTTGAACTCAATGTCTGGGCACTGTTTCTAGGCTTTTTTGTTCAAGGCTGGCACTCACTTGAGCCACAGCTCTATTTCCAGCTTTTCTGGTGCTAAATTAGAGATAAGAGTTTCCTGGGCTTTCTTGCCTGGACTGGTTTTGAACTGTGATCCTCAGATCTCAGCCTTCTGAGTAACTAGGATTATAAGTGTGAGCCACTGGTCACTGGGGTGAAAAGCCAAGTTTTATTACTTTATTGTTTGTTTGTCAGTCCTGGGGCTTGAACTCAAGAGCCTGAGCACTGTCCCTGAGCCTCTTCCTGCTCAAGGCTAGCACTCTACCACTTGAGCCACAGCACCACTTCTGGCTTTTTCTGAGTATTTTATTAGAGATAAAAGTCTCATGGACTTTTCTGACCCAGCTGGCTTCGAATTCTAGTCCTCATATCTCAGCTTCCTAAGTAGCGAGGATTACAGGCATGAGCCCCCATGTTTTAAAATTAACACTGGGGCTGGGATATGGTTCAGTGATAGATCTCTTGCCAGGCATGTTTGAAGAGTTATCATCTGACTTGAATTCAGTCTCTACTATGCACCAGTAAAGTCAATCTAATAAAAGCGTATTTGAAAAGACAGCTGTTTGCTCCTTTCAAGCACACAAAAAGAACTGAGGCCAAGCATGTGTGTGCACTAGGTGTGGACACTCAGTCAGTGCTGGCACACAGTCACCCCACAGGGACCAGATGCCTAGTTTTCTGCATTCGTGGCTGACTGCAGAGTGCCATTTTTTCCTCTTAACACACCATCATCAATTTCTGTGGTTTGGGTTTTTTTGTTTTATTTTATTCAACCAACTTTCAAAGTCATGGTTAGGAATTTCATGTCCCTCTACCCAGACCCATTGTTGAAAGTTTCAGGCACAAAACTCAAACAGCAAACAGAATGGCAGCTCACTTCTCTCAGAAGGTGAGCGCCTGGGGTGCTCTGGGGGTAGCTGCGAGTGGCATTTGCTGGAAGGCATTTCCTGTCATTTGTGTGCACAGTACCAGGCATAGTAGACGCTAAAGACATCTGTATACTAGACGGTGTATGAATAAGGATCAGTCATCAGGGCAGATGCATCCGCTCATCGGACTTTCATGAATGTGTTTGGTACAGTAAGGATTTTAAATTCAATATCTGCAGTAGCAAGCAGCTCAACTTTAGAAAATAACCCATCAGACAAAGAAGAGAGGACAAGTTACAGAGATGCCTTTACTGAGGTTACACCAGAGGGCTTTTCAAAGAACGATTCATTAAGGCTTATGAAGTCCCAGCAAATGAATTTCGACTCCGTTGTTTTCTAATCTAACTAACTAAGCAAAGGTTAGAAAACAGGCCAGCATTGCCATTGTGTCCTGCTGATCTTGGGGCCTCCTTGGCTGCTGTGCCCTGTTAGGGCTTGGGCTACCATAATGCTGACCCAACCAGGGACCAGTCTCTGCCATGCCACTTCTCTTCCTGCAAGGTCTGAGCTGCTGCTGCACCCACATTCCTAGGCTCAAAGCACCCCTTACCCTGTAATCTACAGCAGGAATTTAGGGCACTGGGATCATGACCCTCCTACCTTGCTTTACCTCTGCCTTTGCTCCATACCCTCTGAGGCTCTTCACCGCAGTATGTGCTTCTCCTGCTTTGCTGGGTCTTCTGAGCTAAGAGTACACACTCCAAATCTATGGATTCTCTTCAGTACTAACTCAGCAACCAGAATCCCAAGACAATGAATAAGGAAACTAAAAAATAATCTTTTTTTTGGGGGGGGGGTCCGGTTGTGGGGCCTGAACTCTGGGCCCGGGCGCTGTCCCTCAGCTCTTCAGCTCAAGGCTAGCGCTCTACCACTTGAGCCACAGCGCCACTTCCGGCTTTTTTCTTTTTGCTTATGTGGTGCTGAGGAATCGAACCCAGGGCCTCAGGCATGCAAGGCAAGCACTCTACCACTGAGCCACCTTCCCAGCCCTCCAAAAATAATCTTTTAAATAGCTCTAAGCAAAACCTCACAGAGCTCATCCTGTGTTAGGTCTCCAAACCTTGTAAAGTTAAAATCCACAGTCAGACATATGTTTTACACCAGGACCTGAACAAAGGTCAATAGGATACTTACACACTTGATATTTATTTTCTATTCTAGTCTACTTATAAAGAAAAATTGTGGTTGTAATGCCCTGGATTTCATAACCCCCTAATGGATGACAACCAGTAGGTTAAAACTTTTGCTTTTAAAGTATTTTTTTTACTGTGGAAAAACAAACTACTGCTAAAGATGTTCTCTGAACACAGACCGGGTGGCCTGTCCTTCAATAGGCATTCAGTGGTGCCTGCCTGAGCTGCTGGGCTAAGCCAGCCTCTGCTGAAATGCAGAGCTGGGAACCCAGCATCAACAGTGAAGAGAAGTGACTCTATACTCTACAGGGCAGAATCTCCAGGGATCAGGTCAGTCCTGCATCCACATCCGTCTTTGACACTAATTTACAGAGCTAATGAGATAATGAGTGTATGTAGAGTTCCTTGCATAGTGATGGGGTGGGGTGCTGGTAGATAGGGAACTCTGACTGTATCCTAGGTGGGGCACTGAGTGTTTACCTATGCCATCCCACTTTAACACTCGGGCTGAGAATGATTCATCTACCAGCTGAGAACCTTCCTGTAGTCCTGATGTCCAGTGCCATAGGATCTTGTTGTTTCTTATCATTCTGACATTTTTCTTTATAACTAATATGCTTTGGAGTGAAATAACTGGACTGTGTGACTTTGTTTTTGAAAAATACTGATGTCTATCCAGCTGAACCCTATTTATGGCTTTCAGTACTCAGGAATAAAACAGAATGGAACCTTGTGAAGGTTAAAATGTGTTTGTGACTTTAAGTATCACCATCCTACAATACTGTGAAATTTGTGAAATTTATGTAATCACTTATCTGAATAGAAAAATTATTTTAAAAAACAGAATGGAAAGTGACAGGTAAACTGAAAAGAGAGGGTCTATATAAATGTCTTCCACAGAGTTGATAAGGAGATAAACTACTTCTTCATCTGTACCTCCCCTGGGCCAGACACTGTGCTAGGTACTACATGTTTGTCATTCCATCTATTTTTTTAAACAACTTTATATGTAGATACCTTGGTTTGATTAACCACATTTTACAGGTGATAAAACTGATTGGAAGCAGCAGGGCTAGGATATAAACCCAGGTCCAACGGAGGGGCTGCCTGGTCCCTGGCAGGGCGGGTCTTGACAGCAGGCATGCTTGGTGGTGCATGCTCACGATAGGCTGAGCAGAGTTAGATTTTCTATGGTCATCCCATAGTCATCCTCTTACCTACAACTCCCAGGGAACCACAGCACAAATGTGCATGTGTGTATGTGTGTACATTTTTTAATACTTTGGACATAGGATTATGATGCTATTAGAACTGTCAGGAAAATTCCAGGCTTCCTCAATAGGAATATTATGAGACCACATCAATACTAGAAATTCCACAAAAAGGCTAGAAAGACATTAGTATTACCTGCAAAGATAATAGCAATCATTTATGGAGTTGGTAAGGCATGCAGAGCTGGAGACACTACATATACTATTTGTTCTTCAGAACAACTCAGTTCAGTAGCTGGTTTTACACTCATTCTTACACATGTCCAAATACAAAACTCAGAGAAGGTGAACAACTCACCAAAGGTAATAAGGACACCTTTAGGGTCAAAATTCCATCCTTTCCCTACTACCCTCTGCTACTACCCTCTCCTGTCAGGATCACTTGCAGCCAAAGAAACAGAATCCAGTATTCTATGGATATAACTCTGCTCCCTGTCCTGCTTTTAGCTTACTATAAACAAACTAGGTGGTACCCAAACAGTCCTACATATTCTTGATAGCATGTAATTGTGCAATAGTCCAATTGTCAGAGAGCACTGATTGTTTTCTTAAAATTTTAAGGTTAAAAACAGTGGCCTTGAAATTTGATGGAGTGAAATGTCTTAGCAGAAACTAACTTAATTGAAAGGAAAACTTGGCTATAAACAAAAAGAGTTTCAGGACTAAAGTTCTCCACAGTGAAGCCACACAAACTTACCTTGATTATGTTTTCAGGCATCTTGCTTGTAAAAAACAAGAACAAAAAAAAAGGCCTTTCGCAGAAGGATGTTTGTTCCCAGGCGGGCCCCTAAAAGCATAATCTCTGAACCAAGTCTTTAATTTCTACTTTACTTACATTAACTGTGAAAAGAACAAAAGAAAAAAGAAAAAAACACCCAAAGAGCAAGCAACAGTGCTGGTCTTCTCAAAAGTGTACTAATTACACGATAAGTGAACAAGCCCCTGGCGAAGATGCACTGATGGATTCAAAGCTGTGTTTGTGTCCTATCTGTCCGTAGTCCTCACACTGTACCAAACAGTTGCCTTACTTATCTGTCCTGGGACAGACTGTGAGCCAGTGTGGGCAAGCAGGATTATCTTATTTGTGGTCACATTTCCAGCAGCTAGCAGGGGATGATCAGATGCAGAGACTCACAAACAGAAACAGGGCAAATCTCTTCACCCCCCCAAACACTCTGCCTCTCCTGTGTCAGAGGAAAGCAGAAAGAATACATGTGTATGCATACACAGAGCACTACACACTAAAAAAAGAGAAAATGAATAGATGTGTCCACGGTCAACTTCTATCTCAGTGCTTCTGAGGTCACTTAAGTCCAAATACAAAAGCTTTTGTGTTCATTTAATTCTGTTCAAGTAATTACCAGTTTACTTAAGCAGTTCTTATATATAGCTCTTCTACAAAAAAAAAAAAAATCTAGAGAAAACAAACAGAGGTTGGTTTCTTAGGATCTTTTCCTTCTGGTAAAACAATATTTTCATTTACTAATGACAGAAAGGCCAGGTGCTAGGTTACTGGGCTGACTTAAGCAATATCCCTCTTATATGAATGCTTCTTGAGTTTCAATCTTGCTTGTCATTTTAGTGTACAGTCCTGGCTAGGTTATCTAACTTCTCTGCACCTTGGCCATTTTACAGAGGACCTACTTTGAAAGACTATACAGTGCCACAATCTGGGCATTTGCAACTGTTTTGATTCTTTCACATAAAACAGATGAGATTCCTTTTGTTGCAAGCATCAGGCACAAACCGCATAGAAAAGAGTACTAAATATGCTCTGAGGATATTAAAGACCTTCTTAAAGCTAGTTCCCGTTCTACACATCCTTAGAGAGGAGCCCCTGGAGGAGAAAGCCAAGTCTCAACAGCAGTGACAAATACACTACATTCAAAGAGTCATAGGAATGAAGATGCCTCCAAATGTCTTTTCCCTCACAGAAGTTCAAAATGACAAACCACATAAACATGACAGAATTTTAAGTTTCCATGGTACCCTGAAGATCTGCTCCATATCCTTTTGTTCTCTCTAGAGGTTCTGCAGAGGAGAAAACTGAGCCTCACAGGATGAGGATTAAGTGACTTGCCCAAATCACATGACAGTGTTAGAGCCAAAATTGTAATCTACGTCTCCTTACTCCTCCCTCTTCACTGAGCAAATGCTGAACACTGTCTATTCATTTCTGTGAAGCCTTAAAACTTCAGAACATGTTCTATCAGTGAGAACAATACAGAGAACTAGTACTTCTCTCAACTGGCTTACACATCACGAGCTTTAAGAAAGGAATGTGTATCCTTTTGCCTCTGTACCTCCAGCTCCCAAGCAGATAGAAACTCTTCACCATGATGGGAACATATTTCATATTGTGCTTGGATCCCACACAACAGGTGTGAGGATGATGACTAGCCTTCTGCCACTGGCTTTAGCCTAATTAAAACACCCCAAGTCTAGAGCTGTATAAAGAGGCCTTTGAAAAGTTGTCCTGGTGGAGGCCACAAAATAAAATAAAAATCGCAGCTCACTTTGTTTCTTCCTTGACTACATAAAGAGAATCACGTGCACGCGTGCACGCACATACAAATACACAAATACACACACACACAAGAGCAAAAGGTCTACACAGCCCTTTTGACTTTTTAGAAAGGAAGAGAAGCAGAATGGATCGAAGTAAGTCCATGGAAAGATTGCTCTGGGATGTACAATTCAAATCGAGGAAAGGAAAACGGACCTCCAAAAAGAGGAGAAACTGTGAGAGAAGACCAGCTTAATCATCCTCTAATGTATCAAGAGTTGAGACCCTAGGGAATAAAGATATCAACTTAAACAGAAACAGGGGGAGAGGGGAGGAAGTGTTGGAGGAAAGAGAACACAAGTTCCCTGGGGGAAATGATGAACTGGAACTAAGTTAGTCGCTCCGCACTCTTTCGCTCTATTTACACAACAGTTTTCACCCCCAGGCTCAAAGGATTTGATTGTTTGATTGACATCTCCAGAGTGCAAATGAATCCCGCCCCCCCCCCCCCAAGACAAACCATAAATGCTTTGGGCAGATGTTGGAATTTTCGGAAAACGAAGGCAAAAGGCGGCCTGAGACTGCGGAAAGGGGAAAGGGGCGGGGGGGGGGGGGGGGGGGGGGGAGGTTCTCAACTTCTATTCTGGACCCTAAATCCACCGGGTCTCCTCACATCAGCCACTGTAGAAAGTAGTAACAGAAATTAAAGTAGACGTTGTTGGCCAAAGCCTGCTCGTTTCGTTCTCCTCCCCACCCTGTGAGACCGGGACCACGACACCCGTGCTTTACAGAGGACCGAGAATGATGGCACAAGGATGGAGATGATTACTTTTTAAACAAAAATGACCCAGCTGACAAGGGACGGCGACAGCTCGCAGCAGCCGAGCTGGGCGGAGGGGGTGGCGCGGGAACTCCGGCTGGGATGGGACACGGGACCAGGGGGAACTCGGGGGGCGCGGGCCGCCCCCGGGGGGTCGGTGCAGAGCCCGCGGGCCCCTCTCCCCACCCGCGGCCCGGGCATACCTGGGGGCTGTCCTGCAAGGCCTCCTCCAGCAGGAGCTTGTCCACGGCGGGCATGGCGCGAGGCGGCGGGGCCGAGGGCGGGCGACGGCGGGGACGCGGGGCCGGAGCTGTCACAGCCGGGGATGCTCAGGCCTCGGGGTGCTCGGGAGACTCCGGGTGCTCGGGTGCCACCGCCCCCCCCCGCCCCCACCGTGCGCCCGCCCTCCCGCAGCCCCTCCCCTCAGCCCGGCCCCCGGCCGAACAGGATCAACAGGAAGTGTGGCGGATGCCCGGCCGGACACCGGAAGTGTGGCTGCCACGTTTCCGGCCTCTGCCCCCCCCACCCCACCCCCCGGGCCAGACCCCTATTGCAAAGGGTTCCGCCTCTAAGGCCACCCTGGCCTCACTGGGCCCGTGTCGCTGTTCCAGGCTTCTGCGGCCTGAGAAGATGGGAAGATGAAGTTCTTATCCTCTCTGGGTCACAGGAAAGAGGAAGGCAGAGAGTTTGCTGCTGTGACTCTCTCTGGCTCCTTTTTTTTAAAACGTGAGGGCAGCCCTACTCTTGTCAAGAGTTTTGCTTAATAAATCCCAGGGCCTCTAAACAGCTCTGAAAATGAGGGGAGGGAGGGGGGTCACCTAAGTCTAGAGAAAAGAAACCACCACCACCAGGTAACTATGAATCACCGGTGACATTCAGACGCGGCCATTTAGAAACCACAGTTGTTTGATTTGGGCCATGTAATTAGGTTTTATCTTCCTGGTTTCTTGTGTTTGGGCATTTTAGAGAATTTCATAATACAGTTTTCATAATTAGAAAAGATAATCTAGCTCAGTGTTGTGATTTAAAGATGAGAGCTTGGACCCTGGAGAATGAAGTGATTTGCTTCATGCAGTGAAAGCTAGAGAGAGAAGAAAGGGAAGGGGAACTTGGACATTTGATGATGATGATGATGAAATCTTGGAAGTTTCTTTTTTAGGAATCAATAAGCTTTTTTCACCTGGATATATTTCCAAAATCAGCAAGAAGAATAGGATACTGTAGAAATTCTTCATTCTGTTAAAACCACTTTAGGTACATTAAGAAAATCTGTGTTGCAAATACCTCCAAAAGTGAAAAGCAAAGTTGTCCTGTTTTATGTCTTGAACTACTCTATGGTTTCCATCTAGCATCATTCTCTTTAGGCTCACAGCATGTAAATACAAGGCTCTGAGTTCAAACCTTAATGCAACCACAAAAAGAAAAGAAAGGAAAAAGATGTAAGAGAAAGGCAGAAATCAAGAAGGCATCTGTTTTGAGAAGATGTCTAGTATGCTCACATTGGAGTACATGCACTGAGATTCTTTCCTTTGCTAACAATGTTCTTTCACTTGCTTCTTTTTAGGAAAGGACAACTACAACCTTCCAGTCCTATTTGTGTATGTGTACGTGCACACACGTGTGTGTAACCTCCATTTGCCAATGTCCCCTCCCGGCAAATACAGCTTCCTCTTCCTGGGTGCGTTTCAGTAGCATTTAGCTAAGTAATTTCAGAATATTTAATTTCTTACTCAGTTTTACAGCTAGTGTGAACAGGAAATCAACTTATTTTCACAATTATGGTGCCTCATACATAATCTAACCCCTAAGCAGATGCTTGGTAAGTGTGTGTTACAATGTAATGTTTGTTGTTGTAATTTGCACAAAATTAGTCCTCTGGAGTTTTAAAGGTGCTTTTATAACTCTCATTTCACTTCATGCCACAGTGCTATGATTTTTCCAGCTATCCACTCACCTTTTGTTCTTACTATGTGCTGACCTCTTCTCTAGAAGCAGAGGATGAAACAAACGGGAGCCCCTGTCCTAACGGAGCATATATTTGAATAGGGGAGATGATAATGAAGAAATACAATCTGATAATCAGATAATAACAGTGTGCAAAGAAATCGAGGATTGTAGGAAATGAGATAATTAGAAAGGACTTTTTGAAGTGGCTAACATTTGAGCCAAGAACTAAATAAAGTAAGTGACCAATAATACCTGAAGGAAAGAGCAAGAGTAAGAGCCTTGGGGAAGGCCTCTCTAGTTTAACAAAAGACCAGTATGGCTGGAACAAAACAAGGGAGGGAAGAATGGGAGGAAATGAGGTTGAAGAGATGCCAGGTACCAGGTCACCAGAGGGAGTAGGTATGGCATTGGGAGTAGGTATGGCAGAATGCCATTATAAGTATGAGCAACTGAGTTGCCAGGACCAAGGAAGCCATGGTAATCATTCAACCAAGATGGAATTCCGGATCAAAATCTGGAGTAGCAGTAGAAATGATGAGAAGTAGGTGAACCTAGATGATTTTTAAAAGCGGATCTTTCCCACTCACCCTAAGTTAAGTCATTCAATGCCCCATACAATGCCCCCACACACACACATACACATACATATGCCTGCCTACATCCCATCAGCCAGAACTTGGTCACTGAACCACATAGTTACAAGGAAAACAGTTTTGTTTTATTTTGTGTTTTTATAACTTCCTTGGGACTTTTGCTGAGACTTAAAGTTGACTTTCCATTTGAACTCATAAAACAAAATAAAGGTCAGGAAAATAATGTTTCAGTCATAAGGTCATGACTTTGAATTTCTGCAAATTTAGCAACCCGGCCCTGTGAACCAGTGACTTTTAAAGTGGCAACAGTTTTCTATTGGAAAACTCTCAAAAGAAATCACAGTGGGGCCTTACTGATTTCTGGTCATCATCAAGAGAGAATCAAAGAGTTGTAGCATGAGAATTCCTCAATCTGAAAGCCCAGAATTTATAGAGTACCAAGGTGGATGGGCACATTAGGAGAAAGTATGGTAGGAAATTGTTGGTCTTGGCGTTAGACCTGACTTGTGTTAGGTTTTTAAAAAGAGGTAGCCGAGTAAGAACTGCACCAGCACGTGGTATTCAGGTAAGGGGTAGGTTTATTCAGTAGACCTGCTGGGACCAGGCAAGGTTGGCACTCCACGTGGCTGGGAAAGAGAGAGGGAAGAGCTAGAGCACAGAGAGAGCAGAGAGAGCTAGAAAAGAAGAGCAAGAGCAAGAGAGCTAGAAACGAACAGAGAGAAAAAGAGAGAGCGCCTGGGCCTGGGCTAGGCCTTATGTAGGGTATGGGTGGGGAAAGGTGTGGCCACATCAAATTCAGATGTGACCTCAGCGGATGCAGATGTGACCTCTTCCAGGTGTTCCAGTTGCCTAGGTAACGCAGGTACTGGGTGGAGACTTTGCTGCGAGGAGGGTGGAGTCTGCTCACCATCCAGGAGCGGACCTTACATTCCAGCCTTTTAATAATCATGAAATAGGGCGCGGATTCTCTCTGGCTACTTCCTGCTGACAAGGGGCGTCGACAATAGGGGTAAAAGGCTGGAATTTGGTCCCCTCCCAGAGAAGGCAGTGAGCAGCAGCTGTCCCTTGGTGGTGTGAGTCCTTAGGTGAAGTCTGGAGAAGTCTCATGAGCATTGAGGGGCTGGAAAAAAAAATACTAAACAGCAAATAAATGGCAAGAGGAAGGACTTGGGGCTGAAAATGTTGTTAGAAATGTCCCTAGCTACTTCTGACATCTGGCTACTAGGTAGAGAAGCCAGGTGACAAAGGCAAGAATATAAATTCCTGTTCAGTTAATAGGTACACAGGTATAGACTAGACATTAGCTGGGTAGGCTTCTTACTTCCACTGACCTCCCGGCTCTGGTTAATTTTGAAAGGGCAGGCACAAAGTAGCTGATGTGACATTATCTCCTCTTACTCTTCTCCATGTTCCCTTGTTCCCCAGACTGGCTGAGCCTAGGTGCTCATTGCTGGGATGGCTTGTCCCAGTTGGTATTCAAGATTTGAACTCAAGGCCTGGGCACTGTCCCAGAGCACTTCTGCTCAAGGCTAGCACTGAAACACTTTGAGTTATAATACCACTTGCAGAGTTTAGCTGGGAGATGGAGTCTTAGGGATTTTTCAGCCTGGGCTGGCTTTGAACTGCAGTCTTTGCCTCAAAAGCCCTTTATTATTTCCAATTAAAGCAACAAGGAGATCAAGTAGAGTAAGTAGAGCTTACCTGGTTCTTATCAAGAATTGCCAACAAGTATTCTGAAATGACAAAACTCATTAGATGTGATGAGAATTTTAGCACAGATATGCCCAGTATTTTAGAACCACGTAGTCAGTAGTAGAATACACAACACAAAACAAAAAAGGCAAAACTTAAAACCTAAAATTTCGACAACGTTTAGACATCTTTGCTAAAAAAGCACATCAGATTGTTGGGCCTCAGTTACCAAGGCCTGTGAAAAGAGCAACTTGTTAGCAAGGCACCTTAGAATAGATGGAGTAGTAAACTTAGTGGAAGGTTAAGGGTCAGATGGGGCCAAACCCTTAACCCACCACGTGGCCAAGATGGCGAATTCAAGATGGCGAATTTCTGAAAGAATGCAAAGAAAGCCTGAATAGATTAAGCCTACATTGGCTAGCCTTTGAGAGGGAACCTAGAGGGCGGTCCCTGGGACCCAGCCTGTGTCGTACTCTTCAAGGCACAAGCCAAAAAGTTGTAGAAAAAAGGGCAGAAAGTTGGACATGAATGGCAGAGAGAGAGCAAAGAGAGCCCGAAAGTAAACAGACTTCTGATCATTTACCATTGCAGTAGCAAAAACTGTACTTCTGAGAATGGCATAAAAATGAGGCTCTCTGGCTTTCCAGGGAGCGCAGGAGACATTTCAAAGGGGTTTCACGGCTCAGGCGTGATTCGTAGCACCCCATTAAATGAGTAGAGTCAGTCTGGTGAGTGAAGGAGAGCTGACCAGGCAGAAGCGGCGTCCCGACTTCCCCCAGAGCCCTCTAGAGAGAAATGGCCAAGCCCCCAAAGCCAAGCGTCCTCGGCTTCAGAGGTGACCGGCCTTTCAGCTAAAGGCCGTAGGAGCTCTCTGGCGTGGCGCCACGTCTGGACAGAGACTGAGTAACAGAGAGCCGTAGAGTAGTTTCACTCACCAGAGTAGAGAAGTGGTGTGGACGTGGATGTGAAGGCAGCAATGGTATCGATGCGCTGATTCCGCCGCAGACAGACTGGTTCGCAAAAGGCCGTCAGAACTGCGGGTATTCCTCAGAGCAAAAAGGGAAGAACAAAAAAAGAAAAAAGAGGAAAAAAACAGAAATCCCA